GGTGAAAAGGACAGAAACAACTGGATGCCTGACTCTGTGAGTGAAAGCTCGGCCGATTCATCCAGGCCCTGTTCTGTTTCCTCCACGAACTCCAGACGACAGACGAAGTCCAGAGAGCGGGTCGGTAGAACCCGAAAACGTGCCCAGTGCCATGACACGAAACCCGACCGGTAGAGGTAATGGTACTAGTAGCCCCATGATTTTTGCGCGATATACATGCTCGCTCTTGCTGATCCGGATGTTCACTCCTCGCCCGGGGGTTGACCCTCGGTCAATCCTCCTCCTGTCTTCCTTGCTCGCTCGGCGTAAAACTCTGATGAGACTGGGCAGTGAGTGGACGGGATTTGGGGGAAAAGACTGAACGAAGTGACCCAAAGTCAATCTGCCCGTGGTCAGGAACGAGTAACGGGTGGAATGGGTGGATGGATGGGGGACCCGCAAAGTGGAAGTGGCAGGTACATACATACATGACCGTGACTGCATTGCATAGAGGACCTATCCTTGCTCTTTCCCAGTTTCCATTGTTTTCATTGTTTCGATCACCTGTGTCAGTGGTATGGAAAGAAAAGAGGTGCCTGTTTGCTGCTTTGCCCTTGTTGATCTTGCTTTGGACTTTGCTCGTTTAGATGTTGGTGTGAGTTGAAGAACCTATTAGAGCTCACATATATAAGAATGACTAAGGTTGTGTCAAGATGGCTTATAGGGAATGATGATGGAAAGGACTCGGAGTAGTGAGGTTGTCGTAGATAGTTTCCATCGCCCGTATGTTATTTAGTATCGTACTTACGATACCAATAATACCATTGTTACCATACTCCACACTTTCCATTCAAGCATCTTTTGACAGCCGTGACTCGCAAGGGGCTTCCCGGGGCAGGGACGAGGGACGAGGAACGGAAACCTCCCGTCTTGTGGCCAGGGAAGGTGCGGATGGACAGAGCTTGACTCGACGACCGACATTTTTGGGTGGGCCATGATAGCAGTTTGTCAGGATCTCCCCGTGCCCCCCCTCGGTGTGAAGTGGAATGTTGGCGGGCGCTGTGGTCACTTCCTGGTCAAACCCCAATCCTCCCAATTCCCGCACTCAACCACACACGGTTACCCACCTCTCCGCTCCGCGCTTGTTGCCCAAGTTGGATGGTGCGGGTTGTGCACGACTCGTTCGCCCGCCGAGCGCGCTCGCTTCCAGCTTCGGTGCTTCTTTTTTGTCGCATTCGCTGGTTCCCCCCAACTTGGCCGTCACGTTCACCACAAGGCCGAGTGACGGGAGGTAAGAGGTATGTACAACATGAAGGCGTTCGCGTGGGTCAGATTGCTGACTGCTGAGAGATCATCGGGACCCCCACTTCGGTTTGCCCTGGCCTGCTCAATTGCTGGTCAATTTGGGGGTTGCCGTTTGGGGCTTTGGGGTGTTGTCAGTCCGTCTGTCAATTTGCGCCGCCGTCGTGCCGTGGTCGTGGTGTATGGCTTTGATGGGTGGCCCGAGCTTCAGGCGTCGCGGGCACCTGGGGTAGGCGGAGACGTGGTAACCTGATTCGTACCTAGCTCGGCAACGTCGTTGGCTGGCAGGGTCCGTTGACATCGGCGACCTTCGCGTCGTTTAGGGCGTGTTTGGATGCTCTGAAATGGGCCTCTGAACGCCTCACTCTGAAATGTCCATTTAGAGGAACTGTACGGACCTCTCTAAACTGGATTTTAGCGGTAAATGCCGAAATTTTGAACTCTACCCTGTTCATGTTCAGAGCGGAATTTCAGAGTGCCGTTTGGTGCCCTATAATCGTAGAGTCTGAAATTTTTACACACATATCGTATTTATATGCCTATAATTAATATAACCCTCTTTTATACCTTCTTTTATATCTTTAATACCGATTAACGAAATGGCTAATTAATTACTATCTATATAAGTTAGCTAGTTTATTACTTCTTAACTGAGTATTTTATATATTATTATTAAGAAGAGGGCATATAAGAAGGTATAGTAATAGACCGAAGTATAAGAGAAGATTTTATTGAGGAAGTTTAAAGAGGTTGTCGACGATAATTTTACTAATTAAAGTAGATATAAAAAGACGGTATATAATAATATTATAAATACTTTATACGAAAAATACGGTATTGAATTTAATATTATATAAATACGTAATAAAATTAATTATTTTAAGCGTAAGTAGTATATTTAGTAGGTATTCGCTGGCTTCGTTAGTTAATCCGACTTCGGTTACAATGAAGAGATAAAGTTATATATTATTAAAGAATTTATTTGGGACTCCTTCTTAGAGGTTAATTTAATTAATTTAAATTGGTTGGGTATATTTGTTAGTAGTATAATAGAATTATAGAAAGTGTATATAATGTTGAATTAGAATATTTTTATAATATAATTTTATAAAGGAGGCCTTTTTTAATAACTAGGATACGACCGGATCCTATACTTTAATATTGGGCGTACTCCTATCCCGCTGAAAAATTCCTCTTATAAATATATTCTATAATTCGAATAATAAGGATTTCGAAAATAAATTCGTAATCCCTACCTATATATACGACGGTAAGAAAAGAACCGTTTCGTGAATTAACCCTAAGAAGAAGAAAAGGAAGAATAATAATAAAGTTATTAGTAAGAATTTTAAATATTTTATTAATACGATTTCGTTAGCAGAGCGTTATAAGGAGGTCGTTATATATAAGTAGATAGCGAAGGCGGTCGTAATATTTAAAAAAGATTAAGAAGTTAAAATCTATTTTAATATTGATATTTATATATCATACGAATAGGAGGAATTAAAATCGAAGGCGTATTATTTCGTAATTATTTCAAAGAATATAAAGGAAGTATATTTTAGAATTTTAAAGAAAAAGTTAAGTATTAAAAATAAAAAGGAGGAGGAGGAGAGTTTACCCGCCTTATAATTGTAAGAGGAGGACTTAAATATATTTAATAAAAGTTTAGTCGATTTAATTCTATATTTAAATACCCTATGCTTAGATAATTTAAATTTATAAATACGCTATATTATAGTGTACTATAGTAATTTGCTTATATATATAAAATTCCTATAGACGGGAGGGAGCGGGAAGTAGGATTTACCCCGGATTTAATTTTCATTATTTTTCTTCGTATTAAAATATTAATATTAAAAAAAAATTGTATATATATAAAAAATTAGTTATTTTAATCGCTAGACTGAATTAAATTAATATATTTAGTTTGTATTAAAATTGAGGCATTTTTATAAATAATACAAATAATTCTATAAATACCTTCGATTAAGGATACGGGTCGCTAAAATTATATAGACGGCGCTAATATTAATTAATATGTTAAATATAATAAATATATTATTATATTTCAAATTTAAATATTTCGAAATTTTTAAAGTTAAATACTCGATTACAAACTTCCCCTCCTCTCCTTTCTATTCTATTTTATATCTCTCCCTTTATATTTTTCTCTTCTTTTCCAATTCTTTATAATAATTGCACTATATCCTCTTTATAAGGCGGTTGCGATATTAATTTATTTGACTATTAATTCCTCCTTATTTTTCTTAATCCTCTATATTATAGCCGATAAAAGTATATTTTTCCGTTATAGTTTCGCGTCGCTCTGGATCCGAAATATTCTCCGCCTCTATTACGTTAAATAGTAGATTATTAGATTTATTTTATTTTAAGATTTAATTTAATAATACTATAGTAATGTATATTATTTCGATATAAATTTCTAGTGGTAACGAGAGTGATATGTAATAAATCCTAAATATATTTTTTAACCGATTAATATTCTTTTCGATTATAATATAAGTTTAAAAATAATATAACTTAAATAATTCTTTATAGTTAGCTAGTTTTAACCCCGTTCTAATAGTTTTTATTAAATAATATTATACCTTATAGTAGGGTACGGGAAATTTTAAATTATTATTATAATTGGTATTAGTGAAGTATATATACCCTTTAAAGATATTAAATTTAACGTTAAATACTATATTAAATACCTTTATATCGTTAATAGACCCTTTCTAATTAAAAAGTACGTACGTAATCCGATTAAAAAAGTTATATATTAATAATACGTTTATAGAAATATTTCCTTTTCGGTTACGTTATAGTCTTTATTATTTAGCTGAAACCCTTATATTAAAGTACGAATTATTGAGAGCTCTTAAAACTTTTATAAAGTAGGGGAATAGTTTAGGATTAATTTCGATTTTAGGAGGGGTTTCGGGCTTGGGTAAGCGGATTTTCTTCTAATATAGTATTAAATAGGTATTAAAAACCTTATAAAATATTCTAAGGTAGAGGTTAGAGGTAAAGTTCCTTCCTATATTATATTAGATATTTATTAATTTATATGTTATTTATAAATTTAAATTTAATATGTATGCGATTATATAAAAGGTAATGCTTTATGTTATAATAAAAAGAAAGACGATAACCTTCTTGTATATTATAGTTTTTGAACTTAATAATAGTTCTATATAAGTATCGAATTATATTATTAACCCGTTGAACGTATGCGGTGTTATATGTAATAGGGATTAGAAGCGACTTTTATATTTATAAAGAAGGTTGTATATTGTTATTTATAAATTTTTATTTATATTTATAGAGATTAGTGGTACCTAGGGTATAAATCTAGTTATATAAAGTATTACGGCTACTTGTATAGCCCTCTTGCGACGACGTTATAGTTGTTATTAATATTATACGACATTAAACGAGGGTATAGTAGTTAATTTGGTTGATTAAGGTCGATTGAGGTTAACGATAGGGGTTATTATGTATTGTAAAAAATATATAAAATAATAAAATTTCTAATTTAGAAGGTCAATTCAAGGCCCTTTTAAGTTTCAAATTAATTTAGACATTTTTAAAAGGATTTGCGTTATTTAATTAGCTCAAAATCGAAAGTGGGGGCATAAATTTCAGAGCCCAGATTTTCCAGCAATTTTAGAGCGAATTAGTAAGAGTGGCGCCAAATAGCACTCTTAAATTTAGGGCTCTGAACAGTTGGGCGGCGCCATGTTTCTCCTTCCGGGGGAGTCCAGGGATCCCTACTGTAAGTGCTGTTGCTGTCAGTGTCGAGCTCTCGAGCACGTCGAGTTGCCGGGCCCACCTTTTGCTCCTCCCTTTGCCCTGGTCTCATATCGCTCATGTCTGATGCTGGCTGACCCCGGTTCATCAGATAACCTTCAAGTCCCTCGCCAAGACCCTGTTCGAGACCTCGGCTGTCAGTGGGGAACCATGGCCCAAGCAGAGGTGCCATTTCGTCCTTCGGTCATTGGTTCCGTTCGTCTTCGGATCGCATCCAATGGTTCACCGAGCTGAGCCAGTCGCAACGACCGGTTAGCTGTCAGTTGCGGAAAGAACCGAGCTCGAGGAGACATCGATGCGGCAACCAACGACCCAAACAAGTACCGCGCAAAAAAGATGAGAGAGGGAACAATGAGAGCATGAAAAGGAAACGACAGATTCATGTCCAACCAGCATGTCATGTCCCATCCCCACACGCCCACATGAGTGTGGAGGGAGATTTCGGGCCAGGACATCTGAAAACGGTTCACACTTCCGCACCTGAGCCCTGTTCATGCCCACTGGTACAGGAGATACTGACAGGGAGACAGGGTAGCACATTGGCTGCGTAAGGGTATCTTTGCAAGATCTTGGCGCCTGTCACTTGTCAAACATGACAGCCAGCAGACGCAATCAATCATCACTGGGAGAACCTGTCATCTTGCCTCTTGTGCCGGGCTCCCAATACCCATGCAGCCATGTTCACACCCACTGAACGAACCATCAAGCCGTTAGCTGTCTGTAACTTTCGCCTATACAAGTCGAGGATCAGCCAAGGTAACCTTGATTACCTCCCTGACACCTACCAAGGGTGGAAAATTTTTGCTTAGTATAGCCTCCTTCCCGCTAATATAACCTCTGCTGTAGGTACTGATCGGAATGCGACGGCAGCCATCACGAAGGATAGCACCCCCATGTTGGATGACGAATCCATGGTACGATCAACAACCTCCTTCCCTGTGTCATTATCGGTCAGAGGCACGTCAAGGCCTTATTAGGGCAAGTAGCACGCAGTAGACTGCTAGCAGGGTCGTAACGTCCCGCTCGCTAGGCCATGCGATGCTAGATATCCGCCTGTCGGTAGTAAGACGTATACCGGTACCAATACTAGTGTGTTCGTACGGAGCATCCCGTACTGTACCTGCTCGTACTGGTGCGTATTACTGCTCACCGGGTATCACAACCTGACGTGTGAACTTTTTCCCGTCCCTGGGATTACCGTCATCATGTTTATGGAAGCGAGACCCGTTAACCTAGTTTCAGAAACAAGTCCAAAACATTATGTCGCTGATATACCTACCTTGACTCGGAATCACTTCGGTCAGAACGAAACCTCTGAATGTCTGGTTGGAAAAGATACACACACCGTCAAACATGTGGTTCACCCAATTGGGCTGCCGGAGGAAAAGGTAACCAAATCAAGATCAAACAACAAGGCAGCATGTCCGAAGAACGTTCAACGTTACACCCTCAAGTTGTTTCCATAATGGTTTGGGCTTACACCTGGCTAGACTTTAGTCGTTGCTGAAGGTGTGCGGTCTGATATTGCTTGCGTTCGCGTTAGGTCAGACCTCCTTTACCACTATGCTCACTCCTCCCATTGTCACGTTGACGGCCAGATGCATTTTCTAGGTGGCATCCCCTGAGGATTAGAAACAGCGCCTTTGTGTATTCTTGTTTACCATGATAATGAGGCAAGGTAAGCTTACGGGCTATGGTCAGGCAGTGGAGCGCAACTATTGCTGATTCACATTCCAGCGCTCCTGGGCCAGCGATCGTTGATCATCAACTATCACCCCTTGACAATCTCCTTGATATTAGATTAGAGTAAAAAGCTAAGCCCTTCTTAGTCTAGGAAAGCAGTTCGTCGTTCCGTATGGCATGATGTGAGGTACCATACCTTGGGAAACAATCAGCCGGAAACCGAACACTCAACGCGCGCAACAATGGACATCGGCCTGTTTATACCATGTAGACGCCAGAAACCTTTGGGAACAACGGAGGCGGGCCTGGTAGACGGGGGAAAGGGGGCGATGGACAGGTTGTCAGTGAGTGTACACGGTGATTGCCGTGTCATTCCAGTAGGGGGTTGAACAACGACACCCAGCCCAGAGCCGAGCCCAGAACGGTCAAAGCAATCTGCGTAAAGCTGCTATGGAAAACTGCATGCAAGCCGTTGGCGCCTCACCGCAGATATGTGAAAGAAGGCAGATATGGCAGGTAGGCAAGCAGGCAGGTCCAGATCTCCGAGTGTCCGACAGCACCGTTCGTGTGACTGACACATCAATGACAGACTGTCACAAAACGCTTTCTCTTTGGGGACGCACAAGGTTTCCAAATGGGGCCCAGTCCAGCCATCCTTCGACGACGAACACACAAAAGCTTCCATGGCTCGTCGGGGGGACAAAGCTTCTCACCTGTGTGTCTGTGTAGCATCGTATAATCTGCAAACCGACGTTGAACAAGCCAAGGCAGCGAGAGCTGTTTGGGAACGGCTGAAACTCGAGAACGGTTCCTCCGACATGGAATCATCCAAACGGTTCTCTGCGCTTGGGACACACAAAAGGGTGGACAAGACGGATTCTTGTGTGCACATGAGAGGAAAATCGTCTGGCCAAGGTACGGGTTGGGCCCGTGGACGCCCGTGGACTCCCAGGGTCCAAAATCTTGTATCGACCAGGAAAGGCGGTTGCCGTTGCATTCGTGCTAGGACGGAAGAGAGCGCCGCATGCCTCTCGTATCACCTCTGCCCCAACTGATTGCTCCATGTTTAGTATACGCGGCTAACCGTTTTGTAACCAGGAAAGAAGAACGGAACGTCTCGTGAAGACTGGACCTCGTTAGTTTCGCAACCAGGGAGCCAGTCGTAAACCGTTCCAACAAGGCGATTTCTGCCCAGAAGTTACGTTTCTCTGTGGTACTTGCCCAGCATGGACCCGGTTCACCAAACTTGACAACGTGTGTCTACCGCAAAGTTGGTTTGGCACTCCGACAAGAAAATATTGTGTTCCCGCGGCGTTGGGTCGCTCTGACATACAACACAGTATTCGCATGCGCCGTGCTCTCTACCAGGGCTCCTGGATGTGGGTTGGTCGGGTAAGGTACTCGACAGCGAAACGGAGCGTTTTGGTTTCCATCCTCCGGATAGATGCCCCTGGACTGTGTGTACTGTGTACACAGCACATGTTCCCTCTCTGTTTGGTTGGCTGGACGCTTCACGTCTACTTACACAGTAGTATCATGTCATGATGGCCTTGACAGCAGCACCCGATCCAGAAACCCCTGCAGCTTGGGGGTTTTCCTATGGCGATCCTCGGAAGCGGGCTCGACCCACCTATCGTCATTGCCCTTTCCTCCAGAATGGTTGACCTGTCTTCTGTTTCTGCCATCGATGTCATTCTCGTCCTCTTTCTCTTTCCATTCCTCGACATCTTGCGAGGCGGCCACTTATAAGACCTACTTTGCGTGGGGGGCAGCATTGGCAGCATGCCTTATTCCCGAACGGAAGCAACGAAAGGGCTTCCATTCAATCCCACCTTGCCTTCCAGCGTGGGGATGAAAATCTTCCGAAGAAAGCTGGAAGCTCTCTTGATGGATCGGATCACGGATCATTATCTTTTCTCCCATTTGACCTAGCACACATCACTAGCGGCAACGCCAGCACACACATGAAGGAACGGAAGGAGGCAAGCAAAACCGTTGCTGAGCCTCCATGCAGAAACCAACCGTATCCCGATCCCGCGATCCCACGATTCCACACACAGAAACATATATGCCTGACGGGCCTTCGGTGGGCGAACCATATAGAACCTCTTTTCGGTGTGTGTGCGTGCCTGACATATGTAACCCCTTGCCTGTCACTGGGTACGCCATCGTGGGTATCGACAGATGCTTTGCGGGTTTCTGCCGCTAAGGGGACTTCGTGTTTCCTTTTCACGAAAATGTACATGGACGAATCCGGATGGATTTGCTTAGGGAGAAAAGCAGTCCTGCGATAGCTTGAGTGTGTGGCGCTGGTTTTTTCATGATGTTTCTGTTGAAGCTATGATGTCGGCCACTCGAAGCGGAAGTTCCGCACTGAGTTACCGAACCAAATGCTGGTTGTCGCCAGGCGGTTCATTGCCGATCGCGGTTTCGATAACTGAGGCTTCCATAGCTGCTGTCTCCCTCGTTCGAGACCGTATCGTTCGTGGCCATCATACGTACGGGATCATGTTGCCACTGCAGGAACCCAGCATGTCGCCGAGCTTTGAAAGATGTGTGTTCACCGCCAATTCAGTGCGCTCATGGACCGATGACGTTTGGCGGGCAGCTGGGAGCGCTTCAACAAGTGGCCGGCAAAAGCCTTGGGCAGTCTGGCTCGCATACGGACCCGGGTACAAAAAGTGCGTATACAAGGCATCGGAGATCTCCCGCACCATAGGGATGCTGACGATCGTGCAACGTGAAGGGGGTGTGCTGGCACGTCAAAGATGTGGATGTCAGATTCACAACAGCTCACCCGTTTTCTGGCAAAGCTTGAGAAGGGTTCTCGACGAACGAACGAAGGAAGTCTGCTACTGGTAGTGGTGGTGGCGGCGGCGGAGAAGGCGGCGGCGGCCACGAGCCTTGCTGTGTCACTGTCACCGTTGTCACTGTCACTCCTGCAGTGTCAGTTTTCTGTGTATGTGTCCGGCGGACTACTTCTTGGTTGGTGAGAAGACGAGAGAGAGGGCCGGTGGTGGTCCGGTCTGGCTGGGTTGTCTGTCTGCCTTGTTCCCGATCCGATCCGATTTTTCCTGCGAGTGTCGTGTCCTTCGGAGATCTTTGACACTCACTGCTGCAGCAGGTATCATGATAGGCCGATGGGACGAACAGAGGATACTGCCGCGCCAGTATAAAGGCGTCTCTTTGAGGAGATGAGGAGCGGTTCATTAAATCCGCTCGCATGCCAGTTCACCGGTCAGTATCGTTGCCGCGATCCTTCACGACGTCGCAAAGATGGGAAGCCCCAGCGAGCAAGTTGCCTTCTTCGTCCAATATCCCGCCGTCTGATTTACGCCATGATGGTTCCTCAGGTATTACCGTGCTCAGCTCAGCGAAACAGAGAGCAAACACACATTCCATTCGAGTTCCGTCCCTATCCGGGCAAATAAGGTTGCTTGGCTTGTCGAACAGTGGACGGGAGACGGGTAACTGTAAAGAGTCCTTGGGGGTCATTCGGTTCCGAGACTGGTGAACCACGTCCGTTTTCCTTCTTGGCTGGATTGTCTCTTCTTCAACAACCTTTCCCGCACCCCGGCCCCGTGCATCCGTCCACCCGGGGGTTGCTCCAGGGGTTTGTTACAGACATCCAGCGCCCTGGGGCCTGCTTTGGTTGGTCCAGAGAGTTGGGACGTTACCTATTGAATGAGGGCTAATTCGACGTTTTGGAGTTATCCGCTGAGTCAGCGGTGACGACTGAACAGTTTTGAGTCACGATTCTTGAGGGCTCCTGGCAATTATTTCTGATTTTATTTTGCTTCTTTTCCTCTGGTGTCGAGGCGCCGAGGTAATTTTGGATGAGGTTAGTCCCCTGCCTGTACGTAAGGGTACGTAATTGCGATCTGGACGGAGCCCGCTCCGGATGCTACCTCACTTGCTTCAAGTCTAATTGCTGGTATTTGATAGCCAGGTAGCCTGACAGGCCTGACAGTGCCCTGGCAAATTGCCGGAAATAGGTCCGGTTGGGCAAAGGCGAATGAAAATCGGACTGTGAGAAGAAAGTTATTTTTCTCATTTTGCTGAGGTTTCCTGCAGCCTTGCCCTTGGGATGCTTGGAACTGGAACTGGTAATATCGTTGGTGTGCATAACTCCTTACGATTGCAGTGATCACGGGTTTCTGCTTTTTCTCAAGGTGGTCATCGAGAACTCTGTTTTTACTTAACCACATGCAGATACTGCAGCACCTTGAATCCAGCCTAGCGAGCAGAACGAAGAAAGTGAGGCCCGCACCTGCGCACCTTCCGGAGGTGAGAACGAAGAAGCCAGAGGAAGAGCCATAGCCCATGGCACCTTCGCGCTTCGACCTTGGGCATTCGAACAGGCCTGTGATCGGACAATGTCGTAACTGAAGTCACCAAAGGTTCGTTCGTGGTAGCAAAGATCCCCCGAGCCGGCGGCGACGGATGAAGTCTGATCGTCCCCTCCATCACCGAAGTCTCCTCATTTTCCGGTTTATGAACAAGAACCACATCAGCTTAAGTCAATCAAGTTTCTGCCGTCGATGCCGTGATCAAGTACGCCGCCAGCTGGTCAGCGACGTAGGATTGCGTCTGCGGTGGATGCCGGGTCTGCAGTGTGTCCAGATCCGTCATGTGTTTGTCGTGATGGAATCAACCAAACAACGCCGGTTGATACCATTTTCATCATGAGAAAGGAAAAATCCGGAGACTCATCAACTTGGAAGACTGCGGGAGCTTCGTTGAGCTGGATTTCAACCCACGGTTTTGAACGCGCTAGCAGATCTGGGTGATTCTTAATGATGTGCATTCCTCGGATTTCCGGTGCCATATAAAAGCTCGAAAGACCACCTAAACAAGTTCGACAGGGTGCGGGACGGCACGCCGGCGGCATCTCCCCTCGGCGATACACGCGTGCACAGCATGGCTTCCCGGCCGAAGCTGTGACGTGTTTGCACTTTGGAAACCCTTTCTCTCTCCGTAAACCTCGGTCTTGGGTCTGCGGGTGCCTGTATGATGAAGGATATCAGATGCGGCAAGAATGTGTTATTGTTATCGGAAGGTGGATGGATAGAGGCATGTTTCGGGGAAAGGAAGCTACTATATCATAGGAAGGTGTCGGAGGCTTGGACCGTTGACACGGTCGTTGACATGTGAGGGAGAAAGGTGAAGATGCAAGTTGCTCCTTGGGGATGACGGGGACGTGGGTACCTATGTAGCGACCTGCTTTGGTACGTACCGACCTAAGGTACCACTGTACCTTGGGCCGTGCGTGCTCCTTACCCCTTGTCCGGTAGGTGCATGCACCGGCGTTGACATCTCAGCCAAGTGGAAACCATGCGCCATGATACGTAATTACTTGTATTATGACACCCTAGCAAGACTGTACGGACCCGTTACGATACCATACCATATGTCTTTAACATAACACTTGAGAGAGGTTGCGTTATGCCGAGGCGACAGTGTTGGGGCCCTGTCCATGTCGTCCGTCTATTGTCCACAAAACCATCCCCGGCTTTCACCTTTTTTTTCTCTTTCCTTCGTTATGAGCCGTGGGCTCGACATGCCGGGGGACTCTTGACAACGAGCCTACTGGGCGCCTTCCGTCCAGAGATACATATCACGAAGGACATTGCAGCCGCCTACATTTCCATCCAGATTTACAATCTCGAGGTTTGCATCATATTCTATATACAAGCCTGTACCGGACACGCGCGCCCTCTCATAACCGCCGGAAAGAGGCTCAGTGGGAAACCGCAGAACACCACTCCGAATAACGCATCAAAGGCAACAGAAGGCACAACTTGCAATCCAAAGGCGTCCTGCAGCAAGTGCATTCAACATATCTGCCCACATCAACCCGGAACAACATATTAAAGCAACAGAGTCCTCATCTTGCAGCTCCGAGACGTTCTAGTTTCTACACCGTCCGAACTCGACATAGCACACATCAATATCAACAACTCCGAATGTTTACATCCGGCTTCTGTTTTTTCAATCTTATAAAATATCCATACCCGCCAGAAAGCCATTTTCCTTCACTCCTCATCACTCTTCACTGTGCCATATTGTCCTACAAGCACCCTCGAGTCCGCTCTTCCGTCAACATCAAAGACCAAAGGTAATGTGCCTCTGACAAAACGGTCAAGATAAATAAAACTGACAAACCGAGTGTTAGCACACGCAGGCTTCGTTGCCACTAGTCGTCCATTCCTCACAGAAACACTACCTTCGTGTCTAACGGGCGCCTGATATCTGACAAGACAACATCACAACGTTCCCCGAGACTATTGTTTTCTCAACTCGACATTTTTTTACTTCAGCCAAGATGGCAACATCATTCTATCATCCACCGCACCACCAGCCCCAGAAAATGCATGGCTTGAACGTGAGTAGCTCACAGAGCGACCCGCGGTCGCTTCCGTCTCCCGGCTCAGCACTGCCACCCATCCGCTCCATTATTCCGGATTTTGATCATCTGGACATGGACTACGGCCGCCGGCAATCTCAGGCGCACAAAGAGATCATCGATGGTGGAAACTCTCACGGATACACCACTGATCGTCTGCCAACCACGGGCTCCAGCCCCAGCATCAATGTCTTTTCGCAACATAGTTATGGCCACCAAAATTCCGGATCACGACCCTATCTCGATGGCCCGCTTCCGCGTCTGCCACTGTCGGACGCTTTTGCTCAATACAACGATCATCATCAACACGGCGAGCCACAGCGTGGCTACCCTCAGTACGGCCAACATCAGCCCGTATACCGTCAGGATAGCTACCCTCCTCACGGGTATCCTCAAGATTCCTACTACCCCCTACCGGAACACCGTCACGGGGCTTACCCTCAACCCAGACCCCAGCAGAACCCCTACGAGCAGCGTGCCCACAGCGAGCGCCCGCGCCATCCTCATCCTTGGGGGAGCCAATCTGATTCTGCGGTAAGCCCTCGGGGCGGCGATGGGGGCAAGAATAAGAGACGTGGCAATCTTCCCAAGGAGGTCACGGAGAAGTTGTACGCTTGGCTGTACGGTCATCTAAATCATCCTTATCCGACCGAGGATGAAAAGCAGAAAATGATGAGAGAAACAAATATGCAGATGAGTAAGACAATTCGACGGCATATCATCTAGCTACCTCTTTACTGACTCTGTTTCCTTTTCAGACCAGATTTCGAACTGGTTCATCAACGCCCGTCGCCGCAAAGTCCCGCTCCTCATCGAACAGGCCAAGGCCGAAACCGAGGCCGCGAAGCATTATCGTCCCAACTCATCACCCATCGCCCGCCGAACTCGACCGGTTTCGGTTTCCCACACGAGACACTATAGCCGCTCGGGCCCAGGCCGTGGCGTGCCCAGCCGCCGCAGCACCAGTGCCGAGCCGTCCATTAGCAACCTTCTCAACCACCCGGAATCTGAGGGGGACGTCCGGCCTCCACAGTATGCCGCCCCCATGAGCGACAGCGGCGTCCTTGATTACAGCAGCCGTGAGAGCACCGAGTCTTATGAGATGGATCCTCGTTATCAGAGCTACGGGCATGGGCATGGGCATGGGCACCATGCAAGCATTTGAATCTTCTGGGGCCATTGCCATCTCAGCCACTTTTCTCGGATCTGTACTTGGGCATGTTTAACGGGATGAAGGAGTTTCGGACAGCATTAGGAGCATGGGAAAAGGTCATTTGGTTCTTCCTTTTCTTTCTTTTTTGCCTATCCCTCTTCAGGATGGCATTTTTGGGTGGCAGGGTATACCCTAGGGTCATTCACAGCGCATTTGGCATTTTGGCTTTGGATAGATATCCATCAGGGCTAGGAAGCGGCGCCCCCGTCGTCTCTGACGACCCGATGATCAACACACTTTTTTACAACATCTCGGTTGATCTTCTCCATGAGTGATTCGTTCGTCAATGTCATGTTACCGCTTCATGTTTTCCATCCTCCATACTTCTTCGTGGATAAGGACAGTCAGGCAAGCAGGTAGGAATGTAGACAATTCAGGTAGGAAGGTAGGTAGACAGCAGGCAGTTCAGGTAGTACAAAACCCGGGCCAGTGTTTTCGAACCCGCAAACTCACTGTGTACGAACAAGTCAAGTCAAGAATTGCCCGTAACAGTAAGTACTTAATTCTAGCTAGTAAAAAAAAAAAAAAAGTGACGGGCATCTTCTAGTCCCTACCCTACCCTACATGGGCCATGGGCCTGGGATCTGTTACTGCTGCCGGTGTATGTAAGACATTCGTCAAGGACCAAGCCCACCCAGGCCACCCCAGATGTCGGACGTCAAGACATGCATTAAGGGGAGTATTTGGGCCTTGGGGGTACAAAAGCGTCAAACCGAGCAAGGATCTGGCTAAGGTGTATGTGTACGAGTGTGGGCAAGTGTGGGCGGCTGGACTGGACTGGGCTGGACCATGAATGAGGATTGTTCGTCTGTTGTGAATGAATGAATGAATGGTTTGCGGGTTTGTGGGTTACTGGGTTGGATCACATGGATGATGGGTAGATGCATCGAAACCGAACACGTCGAACCTTGCACAGATTCCATCCATGTCTGGCATCGGAAACTGCTCCTCGCCATTATGCCTGTTGCCCCATGGCGGGGAGTTCATTGATACCTGCCCCAGTTCATGTTCTATTCTTTCTTGTGTCTGGTAGATCCGAGGGGGCGGGGAAGGGGGGCAGCTGTCACGGACAGCTGGCGGGAAAACAGAGGACATCTAGACATCATCTGATGGGTCGAGGGGCGCTCTTCTCGGTGTTTACCATACCCATCTACCTCTATGCATAAACTCGCATCATTTTGTATGTCCGATGTGCTTCTATGGCTTGCATAGCTGCACATACAGATATTCATGCGTCCGAATAGTTTCGTAGATTTGAAAGCAAATGATGAATAAGAAGTGAAATTTCCTTTTTTTTTTCCTTTGATGAATACTTTTTAGCATCTTGTCATTATTGCCACTATTATTTTCCTCTTATTATGATATTATATTCTTTCATTACCATGATAAATAATTCGTTTTTTATTTTATTTTTCAACACGATTTCATTATAGATTATAGGGAAAAGAAGTAAAGATAACAACAATATCTCTCTTCAATATCATCAATACAATTAACTTTTTAAAGTAAAAAACACGGAAAAGCTAGGTAGTTAAGCCAAATACTCCCAAAATATAATAAAAAGTGTTGGTTATACAGGGTTATACGGTATAATGCTTAGTGCCTTCCGCCCACCGGACATTGGGTACAGAATATCTGCATGCATCAATCCTCACTTACATCACCCATACATAAACTTATGATCAAAAAATGCTGTCCCCCCCCCCCCAACATATTCAAATGCATGGCATTTATTACCATCCTTCAAGAGTGCATTCTGCCACCAAAACTAGATATTTCTTAAAGCTTTTAACTGTAAATGAAAGGTAGAAATTTCCTTTAGTATTTGGTATACTAACCTTTGTTCTTTCTAACCGCTTCGAGGCGTTTTAACATTGAATCCACTAAACTATTAATGAAGTCTTAGGGAATTTGATTCTAAATGTCAAGAAGTATCTCTCCAACCCGGCGCTTATTCTCCTCATTCTCTATTAATAAATGAAGCTCTAGAAACTCTTTTTTCAATATCTTCTTTACTCTATTCTAGACGTACTCGATGGGATTGAGATTGAGGTTGTGAGTGGGGTGCTTTATATACTAAATGCCATAGCTCTCCAACTAGTCCTTAGTAACCCTCGAAATATAAATTCTAACGTTATCTTAGAGAAAAAAAGTACCCGGGCGATAATAAGGGACTAATTCTTACTTTAGAACATCGATATAGGAGTTGGAAGAATACCTATTTCTTAGAAATTAAGGATTATAGTCTATAATAACGAGATTTGAACGTCCTCCTTTCCAAATCATCCTCCGAACTATTAAAATAATAGAAAACTTAACATAAGTCTTAAAATTAATTAATCCGGGCTTGAATTTATCTTAAAGCCTTCGAAATACCTAATTATCAGGCTAATTAGGGGCATTTTAGACCCAACATTCATTAGAATAATTTGCCTAACATTATAGTTAATATAAAGTGAGAATGAATTAAGGAAAAAAAAAACTTACCTCCTTAAGAATACTTCTTTAAAAGCGGAATTTTCTAGCGTAAAAAAGTCTTTTTCTAGCATCGGCTTTAGGAAGGGGGATTCTCTTCATTGAAAGCTATTTTCGACGATAATCTTTGTCCAAAATCTTCCGGATAGTATTCTTAGTAACGATGACGCCGCAATCGTTAATAAGGGCTCTCCAATTCATTCAAGGGTTCCTTTTGACCATCCGACGAATGTATCGCTTCTCTATTAGTATTAATTTCTCTTTTCTTCCCCTTCCTAGGAGTGCTTTGAGAGTTTGGTAGTTTTGAAAGCGTTTTGAGATTCTAGTAATAGTCTTAATACTACAATTAAATTACTAGGCGAATTAATGACATAAAACACTAGCATTTTGCAATGCGATAATGGCTGCGCATTCGGGCTCAGTTAAATCTTTCCTATACCTTCGTGAAGTCCGGGCATTTCCGGTCAAAACCTGGCTTAAATCAGCCATTTTGGCCGGGAATTGACGGAGTTGCAAAGGGTTGAAGAAAAGGTAGATGCAAAAGAAATAGCGGGGCGGAAGGTTGATGCAGATGCATGGGGGTGGGGGGGGACAGTATTTTTTGACTATTACTGTATCTGCCATGCAAACCACGACTGCCTCGGACGCCTCATTTGAAAGAGGGGAAAAAAAGGGGTGTGCTCAAGCTCCCGAATTCCGAAACATAACCCACCATCATAGCTATCGTTCTTTGGTCCCGAGCGGCTCTCTCTTGGAGCCATCAATCGTTTTCATCCCCTCTCAGCCAATCCAAGAAGCTCAGGCCCGAAGCCCTCCTTCGGCGATCTCCTTTCCAACCTTCAACATGCACACGAGTTGTACCTTTCTTGCTTCCCAACTCGAATCTTCGGGTCCGTAACCCGGCGATGCCCGCGCTTTTCCCCCTCATGCTGTGGCGTGCTCCGTCACTGTCGCTGGTCCCTTTTTCCTCGTCGAACAAGCCCTTTTTCTTCATTCGTCCCATAAGTGTCGGCTTTGAAGCACCTCTGTCCCCACCCTGACGAGTTCCGACAACCACCGACATTTGGCCTATGGTTTTGTCAGTTGCTTCTTTGATGAAAGCAACACGTAGAGGTATGCGAGCGGGCTCTGGGTGCGTAACCTTTGCTTTAAACACACGTTGGGCTTATGCTCTCTCCCCGCGACCACCCCACTCCCTAAAGGGTGTCAATGGTAGCCGAACTCTCGGATTGTCGGTGGTCTGCAGTCTTTTTGTTGAACTTCGCCATCGGTAAACGAAAAAATACAATATTCGAAAGGCAGGCACAGAGCTCCCAGCGCGTGTCGGTGAACCCCCCCGCCACCCCAGCCTCGACCCGTCATGCCTTCTTTGGTTCTCGTCCTCGGCTTCACCAAACCATGCTTCCTGCCTATCCAAACCCCTGCCCCTCATCCAACCAGATATCGTCAACTCGCCAACATATGTCGGTATGCCGTTCCCGTGCTACGGCATGATACCCTACATAAACATGCCTTTTCCTCCTCCCCCTCCTCCCCCTCCTGCTTTGCCATTAACTTTCCTTCCAAAAGGCTGGTACTAGAAAGGGGTACCCATGTCAGATTTGCATATCTGGCTGGCTGGTTGGTAACACACACAACCACACATATACGTTGACACAAAGAGACAGACAGACAGACAGACAGACAGACAGACAGACAGACCATCCACGGTATGCCAACAATTGCCCATCATGCCAGCGGCTGGAGCACAAGAGCAGATCCGAAAATGCAGGACGATAAAGGCATACGAGACACAAAATAGATTAAAATGTGCGAAGCCAAGAGGCCAGCAGAGCCTGAGGGAACGCAGCACGACAACAATCAGATGCCTTTTGAGTACCCAACAAGAGAGGCGGTCAAGGAACCGGACCGTTTTTGCGAGTACCCGAGCGAGCGAACGAACGAGTGAGTGACTGAGAGAGCGATCACTGCGGAATCTCGCAGATAGCGACAGCCGACAAAAATGCATTGTCCATTTGTCGGCCCCCACCAGCCCGATACAGATCCCTAGGCAGGTCCCTCTCACAAACAGCAAAAAAGCACAAAGACACAGGAGAGGAAAGAGTACCGAGCACCAAGAACGGATAACACGGAGACCTGAGCTGTGGCTAAGCATCAAGGTACCTACCTCTACGTAATAGCGGCTTCTGGCCTGCTGTTCTCAGTTGTGTTGACAATTGCAGGCTTTGCAGCTGCACTTTTGTCGAGGCACTCCTTGTGCATCGCCTGCTCTGCATTTACCTCTCGTAATGTCGGTACAGTACAGGTCAGGTTACCATACTAGAACCCTCGTGCTGACACTCAAGACAAGAGGGACAGGGAAAGTCAAGTCAAATCTCGGGAATTCTCTGTCAGTCATTATTTGGGATCTTGTGAGAGTTGAGAACTGACTGACCTGATCTGACTTGACCTGATCTGACTTGACTTGACTTGACTTGACTTGACTTGACTTGACAGACTGACAAGTTGCGGTCAGAAGCCTGTCTGTCTGCCCTGCCCTGCCTCAGCTGCCTCGCCGGCACAATCTGACAGTTATCTTGGACAGACGTATCTTGTGACACCTGCCTGCCTGTTTCTCACAAGTTGTCTAGGTAGTGATTAAGCATAGAGAGGCGGGGAAAAGAAACAAGACATGAAAAATGCTGGCCTGTGCTGGCCATCCATGTCCACTGAGTGGATGGATGGATGATTTTGGGTTTGATGGAATGGGAATCTTGTTGCTTACCTACCCCAGCCCAGCCCATACGTACCTCATTCCTCAGACAGACAAGACCAGAAAGACACCGAGGAAGGGGAAAAGAGGGAAGACAAGCCCGGCCTGGGCAGCCCGAGCAACGGAAGGCTTCCAGCATGGATCAATGTCTCAGTTTTTTGCGTTTCCCTCCAAGCGCCGCCCGAGGTGGATTTGGAGGTCAGAACAGAGCGAGAGATGGATCCCCGAAACCCAACCCAAGCCAACAAAAGCCAATCCGCGCGTGGGAAGTGTCACTCACTCATTCACATCCCTCCGTCGTGTTTTCCCACCTCTCTCACTGTCTCCCTGTGGGCGGTAGGTAACGTTCAGAGACCCGGTGGTTCTTTTCTTTCCCACACACACCCGAGTCCCTCTCCCCGCGCCGCGCTGCTGCTGCTCTCCGTAGCTGCCACCACCAGCATGATGACAGAACAAGCGGTCTGTCAATCGGGAACCGCTTGTTTCACTGGCATATGGCCGAAAATGGATTATCCCAGCATCTTTTTGTTGCCGAGACGAGCATGCGCTGCGCCGGGACAAGGACAGACAGACACCTTTGTTGGAGATCTGTGCCACCAGACGATCGGATGGGTGACAGCAGCGTCAGTCAGAAGCGGCATTAGCAGCAGCACTAGTAGTAGCAGCAGCAAGATTGTCGTGTCGTGTTGTGCCGTGATGTGTGTCTCTGGTGTCGTAACCCCCCAAGAATAGGTGTGTTTGGATGTTTGCCCTTGAGAATCTGGAAGCTGCGGACGGGGCCTGTTATGGACTGTTCTGTCCTGCTGCGTCAGGGTATCACAACGAATGGAGTGGCAAGATCTCGCGCAAGCAAATCGAAAAACTTGAGGCGTGTACTGCGTTGATGAGATTGAGGGAAGGAAAGAAGCATGACGCTTGTCTCGCTTGACGACAGAGGGGTCTAGAGCCAATCAGGTGCGCGGGGGAGTGTGTCGGAGATCTCGGAGCCGGGAGTTGCGGATTAGTTCTAGATCTCTCCGAACGTCTCTGGGAAGGTCCTGCGGACAGTTTATGGAGAAGATATCCGCACACACGCGGTGTTCGGACAGGTTTGAGGCAAGCGGTACCCAAACCCAAGACTCCATCCTATGAGCTTTCCTTGTGATAACCCTGGTAGCCCTGGTTCCCAATGCCGTTTTGGTGGTCGTGCAGTGACAGTCCCGGCATTCTTACGCAGATCAGCTGGCTGCTGCTTCATCATGGACACACGTCCACGCCCACGCCCCACGATGATAGGCTTCTCTGGTGCAACAACAACCATTTGCCTTCTTTTCTGTCTGCGCCGCTTCTCGTCAGACAAAGAAGAGAATCACAAACTGGGATCCTCGTGGTAAAAACGCTGATGGTCGGGAACTCACGGCGGCGAAACCTTCCTTCCTTGAGCACACCGCCAATTCTGCCGCCGTCGCCTTCTTATTTTCTGTCCCAATAGCCCCCAATAATGTAAAGTAAGCCTGGGAAGAAAAAAATGTCTTGTATGACCCCGCCAGTGCCCGTCTGTCTTAGTTGGATCTCGTTCTCGGTAGAAGAAGTCGTGTATTGTTCCGGCCCCCGGAGTTCCAGTTTCGCCCGACCACAGTATTCCATCACTTCAAACGGGTGATGTCGTCCCTTGAATTTCGCTCCAAACGTACACAGTAGAGGTAGTTCGTTGTCACCGTGGTAGGTCACGGAGGTTGTCGACTGACACTCGGTCATGCCCATGACCAGAAGATGGCAACGAAAGCCGCAATGCGCTAGACGGCCCTGCCATTGACAGTATTGACGGACTTTTGGTACACACAAACCTCTACTTTGCCACGCCCCAATAGGTTGATGCTGCTACGAAGGAGGAAGAAGACCGTTTGCTGCATGATGGCCGCCGGTGACAGATTCGCGTGGCAGCGGTCGATAATTCTAAGGTAAGAAATAGAAGGAAAGGTGCGGTTTCGTAACTTTCATACTTGATGGCATGTTTCGAATGGCCGGGAATCGTCAGGAATGGGAGGAAGTGAGCCTTGTTTAAGGCTGGTCGTCGCAAGTTGGGCTCAACGTACATCAGGTCGCGGACAGTGCCGCGTTGTTAGTGAAAAGGCCCAAACATTGCCCAGCACTATAACCTGCGTGCGTCTCGTCGGACTTGCACCAGACAGGACTGCTGACATATCGGCGCTTGAAAGAGTAATTTGTGGGGGAAGCTCGTTTCTGAGTTTCCCGAGTTTCTTCGGTAATCCCTTTCAACATGGTGTACGGACTTTGTTTGCCAAGACAGTCCTCGACAAAATAGAAGTCGCTGAGAGCCGCCCAGTGCGTGCATATTGGGTATTTCTTGTACAGAAGCCGGAAAATGTTTTGGGCGCATAACAGACAAAGCATTTAACGCGGAAGAGTGGGGCAAAGGTCACGCCCAAATATGAGCTAAAGTGCAAGCTTAAAATAACAATAAGATCCGGTATAGTGTAACGGTTAACATATCGCGTTTTCACCGCGAAGCTCGGGGTTCGATTCCCCGTACCGGAGTTACCTTTTTCGCTTTTTGTCACCTCAGTTACCATTCGTAATCTTCGTCGATTGAGTGCAACGTATCTCTCGACTTCTTCCTCTCTTCTTTTTTTCCTTATTGAAACTGACTGACTGACGACATACACGGCTTTTTTTTTTTTTGAGGTACTTCACTTTACAGCTTCATTTTCCTGACTGATTGATTGATTGTCCAGGGGTTTCAAGTGTGCCGGTATTGAGAAGTCAAATGTGTATTAACGATAATGAACGAAAAATTAAAAGCAAACTTCATGTGGCAGAAACGTAGAGTTGTTTAGGCCCAGAGAATTATTTGCGATCGAGTTTCCGACATGAGCTCAATGTCGAAGACACGACCACCTAGCATAGCAGAAAGGAGAAAGGGGAAACCGGCTCCTTGACAAACCAGCACCTTTGTTCATGTATTGCTTGATTCCCTTTTAAAACCCGCCTCTGTGACCTTCATGTTCCCATCTGATCATTCGAACCTCCGTTGACCTTGGGCCTGTGAACATCTTACGAGACACTGATGACGACAGTGAAGGCAACAAGACATAATGGGACTTTGACGAACAACCGGCAAAATTCAAGAAACTTATTACGCCATTGTCCATGACCATTTTACTACCTCTAAAATATACAAATCAACACCAGCGGTGCCATAATGCAAGTAAACGTGGAACAGCTCTTCTCCCATAAACTCCCTTTAAGCATTCTCAAAATTTTGTTCACACTACTACAGCCCGCTCGACCTTTTATTCTTCATCATCAGCCATGGAAGCATCAGCCTTGGCCGGAGAAGCAGCAGGCGAGCCAGCCGCCTCCTTCGCTTCTTCCTTGTCACCACCTTCTTCCGCATCTGCCTCCGCCGCCGCTCCACCCTCATCCTCATCCTCATCGTCATCATCGTCCAGAATCCTGCCTCTTCTCGATCGCTTGTTCTGGCGTCTTGCTGAGACAGTGGCCTCGTCCTCTTCATCGTCACCACCAGCATCGACCCTGGAATCATCAACGTCCATCCGATCAGCACTCTCCTCTGACCGGCTCCTGCCCCTCCTTGACTGCTCATCCTCGTCATCATCGTACTCCCCTCCACTACGGGGCGAGTGGCTGCGTTTCTGCTTCTTCTCCAGGGCCCTTTCAGCCCTCTCGAGAGCATCCATCTCCATGCCAGGCTCGTCGCTCTCGTCGCTGTCGACCACGATTTCGGCACTCTTGTACTTGCCAGTAGGCTCAGTCTTCCTGCTGGTAAGCCTCTGCTTCTTCTTGGGTGGCCTGCTCTTCCTGCCGCCCTCTTCGGCATCCGAGCCCGAGCCGTCACTATCGTCGTCGTCTCGGTCCCTCCGGCTCGTCTTCTTCTTCCTCTGAGCACGGCCCTTCCGCTCCCGCTCCTCGCCACCTCTCTCGCGCTTGGCAGGCGTGCTGCTGGCCTTCTTGATCTTTTGTCTCTTGATCTTCTCGCCGGTCTCGCTGTCGGTGGTCATCTCGGCCTCCCTACGCTGTCGGTCTTCCTCGACTCTCTGCTCCGCTAGCTTGCGGTCGCGGGCGGCGATCTCCTCTCTCTCGCGCTTGATCTTCTCTTGGCGCTCGCGCTCCTCTTCCTCCTTCCTGCGGATCTCTTCCTCCTTCTTCTTGAGAGCTGCTTGTCTCTGCTCGAGTGCAAGCTGGAGCTTCTCCTTGTTCTTCGACTCGTAGTCCCGCTGGGAGGCGAGGGCACGCTCGAGCTGTTTACGCTGAGTGTTGCGAGCCATGTTGGCACGCTGCTCGATATCGTGCTTGGGATAAGGTGGGTGGTCCGAGGCGGCGATCTCGTCGAGGGCGGTAATAGCGGACTCGAGACCGGAGGCAGCTTCCTCGAGTTGGGTGGAAGTACGCTGATGTTCAGGCAAACCGTTGATGAAAGAGGCGAGTTGGATCTGCACAAAAGCGACATTGAACTTGAAGTGTACCTGTTCAGGGGCAACTTCTAGGGTCTGAGAAAGGCGTTAGTCACTGCGTTCAACTTGGGTGTTCGAATCAACGTACCTTCTGCGCATACTCCAATGCTGTCTTGTAAGCGTCCAAGTTACGCTCAGCGCGGCCCTTGTTCAGCCACGTACGGCCAAGGCATGAGAGAATGTTGGCATCCTTTGCCTTGCCCTCCTTGCCGAGCGCGATCTCGTAGCTTTCGATAGCCTTGGTGAACTGCTTCAACTCGGCGTAAATGTGGCCCAAGTTGACAAATACATGGACGTCCTTGATGGTTTCGCGAACCTTGATGAAGATCTGCAATGCCCCCTTGTAGTCCTTCTTGTCCTCTACAAGTGCAATAGCGATTCCCTGAGCCGCATATGCATTCTTGGGATCCAACTGGAGCGCCTTGTCGAAGAACTCAACAGCACGGCTGTAGGCGGCACTCCGCTTCTGCCTATCTGCCTCCGTCTCGCGACGCATCTCCCTAGCAGAAATAAGGTGCAGATTGCCCATACCAACGAGAGCATAACGGTCATGCTTATCATAGTTCTGCAGGGTGTGCTTGTAATGGCGTTGCTCTGGGTCCTCGGCGATGTTGTTGGGTCGCTTCCTGGAGCTAAGCTTGCCGAGAAACCAGCCATACAAAGCACGCACCTCAAGGTCGGATGAGTGCTCCTGGTACAACTTGGCCACTGCATCCGGGCCCTCCTTGGTGCCAGGGTTATTCCGAAGCTTGATGTAGGCCAACCTGGTGCGGGCATCTGTGTAGTCATCGTGGCGTTTCAGCAAGCCCTCATACACCTCAACAGCCTTCTCAGACATGCCACGAGCCTCGTAACTACGGCCAAGATTGAAGCTGATGGTGGTGACCAAGGCGTCGGTGTCAGTGTCGTCGTTCTTGTCGCCAATTCTCATGCAGGAGCTGAGAGCAGCCTCAAATAGTTCGCTCGCAAGCTCGTGCTTTTCTTCCTGGTAGTAGAAGCAGCCGATGTTGTTCAGCAGCTGCGGCGGGAGGAACCTCCGGAGCGCAGCCTTAATCGCGGCTTCACCCTCAACTTCATCCGGGCGCTCTGATTGGGAAACCTGGTCAAGCTCTAGCTGCTCGACTTGCTGAAGGCACTGGAGGGCCTTGTCAGGGTTCTCGGTCTCGTAGAGACGGGCTAGGTTGAGAAGCACAGCGGCATCTGGCGCGAGGCTTTTCTTAGGATCCTTCCACGCCGTCCGGACGCTCTCCAGCAGGCTGATGGCCTTCTTTGCCTCGGCGGACTTATCCTCCTTGACCGGAGCAAACTGGTTGGCGAAAACCTCCTCGGCATACAAGTTGCCGAGCAGAATCATGGCTTCGTAGTTCTTAGACTGCTGAATCATCTTCTCGAGGCGAAGTTTGGCCTCACCCAGGTCGTTCTTGATGACGGACAGCTGCGCCGCACCAAACTTGGCCGGCAGGTAGCCGCGCTCAGTGCCACCTCGGGCATCATCCGCACGGCGGTAGTAATCGGCGGCACGCTCGAGGTTATTGGCGTAATGTTCTTTGCGGGCGAGCAGGTACCAGCCATCGCTCGCAATAGCGTTGACATCAGTAAACTGGATGGCCTTGTGGGCAAGAGCTTCCACATGATCGAACTGCTTCCGCGAAAGGAAATAGCTGGCAAATGTGGCGCATGTGAGGGGAAGATCTTTGTCAAGCTTGTAGGACTTCTGTGTGTACTCGGTCATAGCCTTCTTATACAGCTTGATGAATTCCGGGCTGTTGATGGGCACGTGTCCGCTCGCGTCGAGGTAGTAGAGACCCAGGAGGATGTTGCCGACCTTGGACTCGGCGTTGATCTCGAGAGCTCGCTCCCAGGCGATCCTGGCGTCATCCTTGTATCCTAATTGCCAGAAACAGCAGCCAATGCCAATTCGCGGGTCGGGGTCGACGAGATCTGGGGCTCTGGCAAGGGCGTCCTGATAGGCAGCCAAGGCGTCGGCATACCTGCCAAGCGAAAAGAGGGCGCGGGCCTTGCCAATGACGGCAAGCATGTTCTTGCCGCTGGAAACCCGGAGGGCGTCGTCGAAAGATTTAAGGGCGGCGCGCAGGGTCTCGGTCTTTTCGGGGTCGACTGCTCCGGGAGCCTTCGATGGTGGCTGGAGGGACGCCCTCAGGAGCTGGAGGACACCACGGGCCAGGAAGAGTGGAGGGAAAGCTGGGTTGATGCGTGAAGCTTCGTTGAGGCTCTGGGTAGCGAGCTGGAGGTAGTATTCCTTGGTCTTTGCTTCGGAAACAAGGGCGCCCTCGGGGGCTACCCTGGGAGCTTCCCTGCTTTTCCACAAATACATCCAGCAGAGGGCGGTGACAATGCTGAGCTTCTCTCTGGGGTTGTTGGCTTGCATGGCGTTGGCTCCTTTGATGAGCATCTCGATGGCGAAGTCGATCTTTTTCTGTTTTGCGTAGGCAAGGGACACTGTCATCCAATATGTCCGGGCGGCGCCTTCCATTTCGAAAAGGGTGCAGAGCTCGGTCGGGTCATCGGCGAGGACCTCGAGGTCGATCTCGACAGCTTCGTCATCTTGGTCTTGGACGGGAATGTCGATGGTAGAGGGGATGTCGGTGAAGCGCTTGCTCTTGGGAAAGCCATTGGAGCCTCCCACGGATGAGGCAGGGGAGACGCCACGGCCGTTGGCGGCAGCGCCATTGAGGGCAGCTGAGGCCATTGTGGATGACTGGTGAGAACTTGTTGGAGCCGCGCAGCTTGGGGATATTATAGACGGACGGAGGCGCGAAGGAGGATAGCGAGTCGAAGATGTGTTCTCGTTCGCATTCGTGTCCGGGTTCGGCAATCGGTAGTCTTGGGTCTTGGGTGGGTAGAGTCGTAGGTGTAATGGTATGCTCGAAGTATGGTGACTGTTGGCGATAGTTTAGGAGGGGTGCATTGCGCTCCTGTGCAGGCGACAAATTGGAGAAAGAAGGCGGAAGAGAAAAAGGGAAGGGAGCAACAGTTTTGCAGCTACGCGATTGTGTGGACGCGGGGGATGGCGTGTGTTCTGGGCTCGTAGTTCTGGAAATACCCGTAGTCGATGTGTCGGGATGTTCGTTATGGAAAATGGTTGATGGGAAGCTGAGATGGGAGGAAGAGGTGCACGTCGCGTTGTGTCGAGAACCGGATCCCGCTGGTCGTCAATCAGATGCGTCCAGGTCCCGGCGCAGAAACCCACACCGTGCTGTCGCGGCAGGCTAGCCTATGACATTTGCCTGCCGGGACGGTACGGGTAGACTCTCCAAACCTTGACCTTCTCTCTGCGAATTCCAGGTTTCAGTATCGTCACCAATTGATGATGCGAGCACCGGTCTGCTTAACACCTTTTGAATGGAAACCACAACAGGCTGGTCATCTATCACCGATAGGATTCAATGGTTGGATGAATGGGCGCGCAGTCACATACGCGATGAGGCTGAAGGCTACAAGTGAGTGTTCCGTACGACCCACTCCTGCCCCTGGTCGCTGACTTGATTGGCTGATCGAGAGTAGAACCAAACAACGTCCGCCAAGACAAACCTCTTCGCTAACAACGGAGTCTGAATAACCTCATCTGTTTGCGGATGTAAACAACCTGCTTACGAAAAGGCATATCAAAGACGCATCCTCACTTGGAAAGAGATGACCACACATGATGAGTGGAGAACAATGAAGGATAACTGTAGCCCTGGCCCAGCGAACGGCCCAGCTACCTAGCCCCAACCCGGATGCAATGAGAGGATCACCTCTGAGGCCAGGGGACACAATCCCAGATGGCATGAATCATGAGGAGTTTCAATCGCTGAAGGGCCTCATGTCTTTGGTGGAAAAATCGGCGGCCCATCGTCAACAGCTTCTTTCGCCGATCGACCCAACGTCATACGGTTGCGACCTCACCATCTTCACGCCGCCTGGGTGCTGTACTGACACGAGTACTAAACTGGGTGGTCTCCGCCATTATCAGCGGGAATCGCCAATGAGACCGCTAATACTTGCCGGTACCGAGTGCAGGGCCATCATCAGAAACGCTGTCCTCCTTAGCCCATCAAGTCTTTACTGGTTCTGTATCATGACCACGAACAGACGATGTCTCTCCCGTTACAATCACGCTTAAGGCAAGGGCGCTCACGGCTATGTGTACGGAAAACTGTCTTTTTGATAGGGTCTCTGATGAGAAATGTCGAAGTGGCACCCTGTCCAATATTAGACCAGGCGTAAAGGCACACGAAACTTGCAGCCCCGGAACTCGGCAACACTTCAGCTACGTGTGCTTTCCGAACCACAAACTTTACATCAATAATTTTCACAGGTGACTTGCTCAGTGAGCTCCCTTCAGTCCGAGGCACCTCAGACAGCGACGCAAATAGTTCGAGTTCGTCTTTCCTCGTTTCTGCCATCGGCTCTGCCAGTGACAAAGGATCCAGCTACGTTGCGTTTCAAGGGAACTCCTGCTGACCGGAGCATCATGTGGGATTCTCGATATTGAACTGTAAGCTAGCGCTTGGGTGAAAATCTAGAGACCAGAGGCGATGACCATCTTCTCTGAAAATCCCCTCCTCAGACAGGTTCAAGTCCTCGCCACTAGTCAGATACTTCAGATTCGGTTGAGTAATTTCGCTAGCACGGCCTTTTTCACCAGCTTTTGCAACGAACACTGGCGTATAGCAGTTGACTTGCTGACCGTATTATGGCTCATGCCGGACACTTCGCGAGCTATGGCTTGCAGCAATGGGAAAATCATGCTGTCGCCGTTTAACAAGACGCTGAAGTAGGAAGACAACCGCTACAGCTCCTTCTATGTGCGCATGGGCGTGTACGAAGAGAGCCGCTCATGATGAGTGCCGGTGTGAGTTTCCGGATTGACGGAAAGTTGGGACGCTCTGCAGCTCTTGATCTTGCCCAAAAGGATATGGAATTGGCGATTTCTTCACCAGCGCCATACCACATACTCATACGCCCATCACCACCGATCCTTGGTACGGACAACTAGTTATACTGGGCTGTACCAACATGGTGTTGATATGGCCACCAAAGCTTTCCTAGAAAGCGATCTTATTAACCCAACCTGGTAGACAGTCTCAGACGGGTAAACCGGGCACCCAGACAGGTACCGCGGGTATCGACAAACGAACACAGTAAGTCATAAACCCCGTTACATCGTGTCTTTCAATTATTAATTTTTTACAGGTGCAGTCTCTGGGCAAGAGCAAGAAGAACTCACGTTCTCGTGATCAGTCTGAGGATGATGACTTGAGCAATGCACACCTCGCCCAAGAGGATGACGAGCCTGACGACTTGAATGAACTAAGCAGGCTCAGAGCAACTTTCAAAAGTCGCTGATTGAGGCGTACGACGCGGGTATAAGCCGGCCGAAGAAGCCGAAGATCGCCGATATACTCTTCGACCCAGCCACCGGAACACTTCAAGGGCGCCATCGCCGAACGTAGTGACGATGCCCGCAAGGGACAGCCAAGAGGCGCCAGCCTCAACACCACCATCACCACCATCGCCGAGCGGCACGAACTTCCCTCCGCTCCCCGCGCCCGCTATGCGTGCTGGCGGTGCTGTCCCCTCTGACATGGCTGCCAAAAGTTCGGGCAAGACTCTTGTAGTCCGGCTCTCGAAGGCCACATCGGCAGCAACAGCAACAGCAGCAACGCAATGATTGCGGGCTGCACACGGGCTTTCACCAACAAAAGTGACCTGGTCCGGCACATGAAGACACATTCCGAAGATGTGACGATGTACCCATGTCAATTTCCGGGGTGTGGAAAAGAGTACAATCGGTTGGACAACTTGCAGAAACATATGAGGAAGTGTCACGATGGGTACATATAGTGCCATATCGGCTTGGGGTTGACATCATGGCAACACCCTTCGGCGAGGAGGCCAGATCAGAGGTGTCCCCCCCTCCCCCCCCCCCCCCCCGCGGCGTAACGGCATTCTTCTCAGAAAGGAGGTCGAAACTGCCATTGACTATATGGCCTTGGCGGGTGGGGTGGGAGCGGATCGTATAGAAAGCGGATAACGTAAAAGTCTTCGCCGGGGACGTTGAAGAGCTCATCGGACACGTAGGCGATCCCCGGGAGGGCGGACAAGGCGATTGCCTCGGGCTCAGGAACTTCCGAAGTTGAGTATTGTGCTATGATGGCCATGTTGTGGGCAACACAGGAGCTGCGGAGATGAGTGTTAGTAATTGGCTAGGGATTGTGGGACAGGTAAGGTGGTGAAGTAACGTACTAGAGATTACCGGTAGGACTCGGAGTTGATGAAGCCATTTTAGTGAAGATGCGCGTCGACCATCCACCGCATCACCGTGTAATGGGTTAGGTGATATCCCTCCATTTTGGCCTCTTTGACTTTGCTGGGCATCGCGCCTTGGTTACCGGAGAGATGGGATTGAAGGCGGGAAATTATGCCGTGATTGGTAGTAGCGGTCCCCGAGCCGACGTAAAGACGCGGGCGTTCCCCATTCTTCTTAAGAACGAGGAGGTACACCCCCCCATACATCGTTGGGGCAATCGGAGGACAGGGCCTTGAAGAAGGAAAGGAAAAGGGCTTCTTCAGCCCTTTTCTGACGGAGCTTGGCGTTGACTGATTCTAGGTCGGGTCCGGACAAGCCCGCCCTGAACCATGCGGGGGAACGGACACTTTCCGACCAAGCGACATGGGAACATAGTCCCATATAAGGTACCTTATCGATGAAGCCCATTGGTGATTTGTCAAGCCCTCGAGGACGGTATCTCTGTCTTCATACGCGCAAAGCCCATACGTTAGGGCGGTTTCGAGGATAAGGTGTAAGGAATAAAGCGCGAGCTGGCATGATCAAATAAGTTTCTGACGGACATGGGGTTGAGACTAAGATTTTTTTGTGCGAAATGCGGTAGCCATTCTAGTAGGCAATAGTCGTTAAGCTCAATAGCTTCTTGTCTCTGTCGTAGTCACTGAACCTCTTATGTATACCCTTATCCTTATTAATCCCGCTACCGACATAGATCAAGGGCGGTTCATACCTCTATTCGTCTCCACCTTCGACTTGCTCAGGCTTTTGGAGGATCAGAAGGTAGATCGAAAAAGCGTGTTCGTCTGTGTATGAGAATTCCGGTAAGGACTTGAGTATATCCAAGGTCGGGGGATGCGGCGCTTTTAGGATAGTTGAAAGGCCGGTGCAGAAATGTAATTCCAAGTCGAATAACGTTTCCTATAGCGACTGGATCGAGGGTAGATGTTTCCGGATTTTACCCAAGTGGCCAAAGTCGCGAGTGCGCGGAGCGGAAACCGGTCAGAAAAGCGCTAACTTGGGTGCTGTGGAGGGAAATATCAAGATATTGTAGGTTATCGTCGAGGGCTATTGTACTCTCTATTCAAGGTGATGATTTTGAAACACTGATGAGCATGTGAGTACTCCTTATTCTGATTGTCACTGTGACTATTGTCGCCCATCAAAACAATAAACATCGGACGAAATCTTTCCGTCGCGTCGTATAACAGATTTCATCGCGCTCCCTCCTTCTTCTCCCAAAATCTTTTCTTGTTCTGGTAACCATCGTATACTGCGTACAGGTATGTGTTCTCTTTTTTTTGGTTTTGGATATTGTTCTGTTTTCTCTACTGTCTTTCTCACTCATGTTCATGCGTTTACTTTCTTTCTGTGGTTCCTTCTTACTCTGTGGTTCATCCCTGATGTATACACGTGCTCCGTTTCTCTGTCACGTTTCTTTTGTTTGATGTTTTCACCCATCTTTCATCTCCTCATCAGAAGCACAAGACTAGTGGTAGTGTTGGTGTTGGAATACTGCTTCATCTCAGTTTGCGACAATGTGACGGAGCTTCCCAAAGGTGGAGAGTACCTCTACATTTTATCTGGACACTTGTGAAGATCGACGAGGCATCAAAACCACCATCACCACCACCACCACCACCACCACCACTTGAATCTCGGCTCCTACGGAGGGATCTTGGAGGCTTCTGGAGCGCCTGCGGGCGTTGCGCGACCCACGCCAGCGGCCACGCCCTGCAAGAACCAACGGGATTTGGACGACCACTACAAAACGCAGAAGCACAAAAATTCGGAATACCGTTGCAAGATTTGTAATATTCCGCTCAAGAACGCCAAGACTTTACGCGACCACGAGAGACAAAGCAAGAGGCAAAGGGGCGGCCGATCCCTTCTCTGAGGATGACGAGCCTGACCACTTCTCCGAGCCTTCAGAGCGCTCCCGCTCCAGCAGCTCTCACCGCTCAGAATCGTCTTCCAGTTCTGACGACGAGTCCGACGGTCCTGCGGATCGCATGGAGCTTGATGGTCCATTCTTCGGCGGTGGCGCGATGAAAGTTTGGTCAAGGGCGACGAGGAAGACGGCGAGGCAGAGGGAGGCGATGACCGCCAGTAAGACCTAGCCCACCCGTATCCAAACGGCCGACTCCCCTGCATGAGGATGGGCGGAGGTGCCATGGGAGGTGCCATGGGCCGAAATGGTTCCGGTGCCCGTTCTGGTAGCTCATCGAACTCTTCTTGTCGTTGGGGTTGAGGTAGCAACGGTCTCAGAAGTGCCTCCGCCTTTTTTTTGGCGCGGCTTTTCCTCATCTGTTCCTTTTTCCGTGCCTTTTGCCGTTCATGTCTTTCCGGGTCCGCTTTCATTTCCTCGCGTACTTTCCTTGTCCGCTCCCTCCGAGTTGCGTGTTGGAGCGGGAGCGGCTGCAGCAGGAGCAGCAAGCAGCAGTTGTCGGAGAGCACCATTGCGGCGTTTGTGGCACCAACTTCGGGGCGAACAAGGCCCGCCATCCTATAAGCTTGAGGACGGTATGGCCCAACGCGCTGTCCTATGCCCTATGGGGGACTATGTACCCATGACGCTTGGACGGAGAGCATACGTCGTAGCTGCCCTCCAAACCGTCCTTCGTATGGAGCGCAGCCCAGCCAACAAGTGCATCATGGACAACATGCGAGCCAAGTACAAAGGTAGCGGATTCGACTCCGACGAGGCCAACAAACTTGGTACCCTCCTCCGACACAATCGCGAGAGTCAGCAGCACCCGATCCCGCGCCGCCGCTGAATTACTGCGAAGTGTGCGACAAGCAGATGTCGACTACATACATACACATATGGACAGCACCTCAGGTCGGCACAACACGAACGGAAGCAAGTGGTGGCAGACGGTACAGCGCTATCCCCATGTATGAGTTGCGACGGAAAGGAGCACTGCCATCGCTGGCTCCGAAAATATCTGGAACGGGCCATAGTGATCTCTCTGCCACAGCGGAGATGGATTGTATCGAAGTCGATTGAAGCGGAGGTAAAAGTACGGATTTTGGTATCCGCGCAATTGGCCTCGAGAAAAACGGGCAAAAGTCCGTCATTGATTGGGCGAAGTTTGGACAAGAACTGCTTGACTTCTTTGTCGACGACTGCGGATTTGGTGAGCTTCCTGGTGGCGGTAGAAGCTGGGAGGCCCTCGGTGGTTGCTTGCGGGCGCCAGGCAAAAAACAAAAGAACAAAAGGAGAACACGAAGCAACATTGACCGGACACAGAGGGCGTCGAGGTAGTTGCAGGTTGGCTAACAACAACATATACGGCGTTGGCTGAGTCCGATGGTCGCCTCATGGCAGCCCGAGATGATTTCTTACCTCTATTCTTCCTTGTTTCCTTTGTAATGTTTATCATTTCATCGTTTGCGAAACGTTTATCCTTTCATCGTCTGAGAAAAGAGCCTGCTCGTTGCAGAAGTATTTGACAGCAGTTGAAACCACGTAGACATTTGCTGACATATGTTTACCTATCTAGATTCACAAAGCACAAACACTCTTCGATATGGCCCCCATTTTCTTTCGCCAGCCCAAGCGGGCTACTTTTAACTTTTCGGCGGCAGGAGTCTTCAGTAAGAAGTTCTTATCGGAAGAGTGTGGCAAAGACAATACCACCACAGCAAGAGAAGTCTCTTGCTCGAACTTTGACTCTCTCTCGGGTTTTGGCATCGCCAAACGCGACGACCCTATTAGCTTGAATATCAAGCTAATCCTTTTCTTCGGAGTTCTTCTCTTTGTCCTGGTGCTGGTCGCCATAATTTGTTGGGTTAGAGCCGAAATTCGGGTGAAAGAGCTTGAGAACAGGATCGAGGATCTCGAGCTTCAAGAAGGGAGCAACTCCCAACGCAGCCCAAGCTCCAGCCCAAGCCAGCCCCCGAGCAGCAGCAGCACCAGCAGCAGCAACGGCAACAACAGCAACAACGGCAACAGCGGCAAGCGACAGTAGCAGCAGCAACAGCAACAGCGGCGGCCCTGGCTCCCCTCCTTCTGCTCCCGGTGACGGCAGTCCTGTGCCTTCCGGTGGCGTATCCGGAACAACTCTCTCCGGGTCCTTGTCCTCTGTCTCCGTCGGGAGCTTCTTCTTTCCCCTGCCTCCGCCTCCGCCCCCGGCCCCCAACAACACCCCCGTCGCCCTGACCCCGGTGTCAGTGGGAAGCCTGGCCTCGGCCACAACCCCCAGTCCCGTAGGCAGTAGTCTGCCTAGCTACGGCTCTCCCGGGACCTCGTCCCAACCGACTTCCGGCTCTCGCGACTCGGAAAGCAGCGTGGCACCCGCTGCCCAACACCCCGGCACCGCGGCGGGTGCCCCTGCCGATACGCCCACGCCCGAAAACCCGTCGTCTGCTGCTCCCTCGCCCTCGTCGACGCAGGAGTCTGGCCGGCCTGCAACCGGCTACGTCCCTCGCTGCAGACCCCGTCGCCCTCGTGTTGCTGTTCGTGCTGGTGAAGTGGCGGAGGAGGAAAGGGTTGTGGTGGAGCCGCCCAGGCCTGTCCGAGGCAGAGATTCAAGCGCGCGTGGTTCCTTGCCAGTGGTGCCTGAGGAGGAGTGAAGCTAGCGGTGGAAGCGGGAGAAGGAGCGAAGGGGCGGTGAGAGGCAGGAAGGAGCGGGAGCAAGGAAGGAGCGAAAGAAGGGAAGGATGGGGAGGAAATGGAAAGGGGTGGGGCGAGAGGGAGAGCTAAAGGCGGGAGGGAACTCGAGAAGGGGACGCAGTGGTAATTGTAATACTCCATCTCCAATTCATATTCATCACCTATCACGTTTTGATCCGCCATGACCTTCAAAGTCATCATCGTGGGTGGCGGCCCCGTTGGGCTCTATATGGCCTACGCCTTTGAGCGAGCCAACATCGACTACGTGATATTAGAACAACAAGATACCGTCCTGAACATCTCAGGCCAACTTCTCTTCACCTGGCCCCAAAAAGTACGCCTCTTCGACCAAATCGGCCTCCTCGCGGACCTTGAAAAGGTTGCTTTGGGCATCCACCACAAGAAGCGTCTCTTCGGCGACAATGGCCAAGTAACCACCACCGGCAACTTCTGGGATGCCATGCAAAACAAGTCAGTTCTCTAGATGGATGAATGCATAGAAGATTTGGGACGTTTTGTCGATCCGATATAGGAGTTGAACCTACCAGAAACTTCTTGTGGACGACTGAGACAGGATGAAAAGAGAGATATGATGCGTGTTCTTATTGGTAGAATGCGTTTACTATTACCGAGTAGCATACTACGAGTGGTCTCCCCGGCCACGCGTAGGGCTACAAATTTGACGAAGCGCAGCTTCATATGTCTCTCCTCTCCGAATCTTTTCATTTCTCATTTTTTGAGAAACCCTAAATTTGTGTTCGAAGAGCAGAAAATGGAAGAAGTGCATCGAGTGGATAGGTACTTTGGATGGCCCCCTCTTGATAAGGGTTAGTACCTGGAGAGAGCATGATCCGGGCCTCAAGTCGGCACAACTTTGAATTCAGCGTCTACCACGCCTAGAGAAGATGGTGTTGAGGCTCAACTAGGGTTACGCCCACTCACAGAAAGAGGCTATCTCCTGGGACGAGGTTCCATGGTTCCAGAAACTCAAACAGATGTTTCAAGAGAACGCCCCTGTATGACCGGACTCAAGGACCTTAACGGGTGGGACTGTCCCCTCACCCTCCTCGCCAAACAAGATACCATGAAGTGGTACCAGAAAGTGAAAGTGTCCGAGGTACGTCTTTCTTCTACCCATTCCTTTCCACCCCTACCAGAGTTCATCGGGGGTGCCCAAGTGGAAGGACTTTGACATCCAAACCGACGAAGAGGTATTGAACTCCCTCACATTAGCCGCCGTTGAAATCGACGCCCCGCAAACGGCGATAGAACCAATTTACAAGGTGCACCTTGCAACAGAGGACCGTTGGTCCAAAGTAACAGCCTTTCCCATGACGGTCGCTCCCGGCCTTGGAAATGTGTAGCAATCAATTTTGTATCATGAAGTAACGCCAGTGGGGAAGTCTACAGGGAAGAAGCAATTCTACTACATAAGTTGGAAGAAGATATCTGCAGATTGTGGGAAGTTATGGCCAAGTGTCATGAGAATGTTGGGTGCGTGTAGGAAAAGGGGTGGTGCGTCTAGGGTTTCTCTTTTTTTCTCCTCTCTTTCTGTCCGCCCCTAGGTTTTCTTCTTACCTCCGGTAACTACTTGCTTCCTACATGGGCCGGTAAACGCCAACTCCAAATCAAGCAACAACTCCCATCAATCCAATCGCTATAGGAAACAATATTCGAACTAGAATTACATTTCACCCCCAGCCTTCAAACCATCTTAGAAGCGCCACATCCCCCAACATTGGACACACTAAAGTCCTTGCCCGAATTCGCCTATACGAACGAATACGCTTTTGTGATTTACCTATTGATCCTCGAAAAGCCCCACGAACACCAAGCCTTCCCCAACGTAGCGGATGTCCAGTCCGTCCAACATCATGGCTCTCCTCATGCCCCCAACACCCCATCCCTATCTCAAAAATCTCCCGCTTCCATGCCCAAGAAGTCGACCAAGAAAAGGGCATCTTTGCCAAGGAGCCCTGCCGCAAAGCGCCCTACGAAGAGAGTTAAGAAGAATAAGACTTCCTCCAACGACTAGCAGCTTGCTGATTCTGAGGCTGTCGATAATGGTCACCTGTTGGGAGACGAAGCTGCCACCGCCGATGTTGATATCAACGAGTAGAGTTATTTCTTGGGAGCTGGGCTCGTAACTACTTGCTTCCAATGCTTCACACCAGCTTCCGTTGACTCCCATCAACTGCCATTGCTTCATAACTTATTCAGAAAGCATATCGAGATTGAGGTGGCGCACAAACAATGACACCAGGACTCCATTGTATTTCTCCAACGAGTGAGGATGATTCCCATTATCCCGTGATACAACACCCAAATGTTTTTGTCAGCGGTAATATTCTCGTGCCTGGCAGAAGAATCAGGTCGCTTATCGGCCTGCAAAGGATAGGATTTGCTGCCATTGATCATGGCTCTTTCACGCAAGAAAGGGTAACTAACCTTTGTTTCGTTTTTACACTTATAAACCGGCGAGCTTAACGTGATGGTAAACTTGGCACACGCCGGTTGAATTCCAAGACCGGTCACAAATAAGGGTATGTTGGTCGTGAACTGTCAAAGGCGATCCTTAAACACAGACGATGGTTGCCACATGACAAAGTATTTCAGGCGCTCCCCGAATTGTTGACTGAATAACATAGGTAGGAAAGTAAACCAACAAAATTCCAAGACAAAAACAGCCAACTATGAGAGACCATCAGGAATTACTGTCATCAGGACATCATATCTTTAGCATCAAAATGACCAACTCTATACAATCATACTACAGCAGTCCAAGAAGCGCTCTCCTCTGTTTCTATTTACATTCACCAACTCCCAACAAACTCGCCAACAGTGAAGAAGATCAAGACCGGTAGACTTTGAATCTACCTCTTTCAAAAGACGAACCAAAAGGGTGTAAAGATGGTCTCAAGGCTCGTCATTCTTCAGTACTTCTAGCTCCAGCCTCGCACCAACCACATTAACCTCCACCAAGACACACGAAGACACAGATTCGTAGCAGACAAAACCACACACCATCGCCAGAACAATACACATAACCACAGGCGCTTCAGCCCAAAGAAAAGCACACCCCAACCCTTTCAACACGCCTAAAAACACTGGAAAAATGCCGTCCACCACCAGCAGTAGCAGCAGTAGCAGCAGCAGCAGCAGCAACAACAACAACAAGGGCGCGTCCCTCGGCAACAATCCTGCGGATTATACATGCGCCTGCTCTAATTGCTATTGCAAGGAACAGGTCCCGCTGGATACCAAGTATTGTGCCTGGCCTACTGCCGCGAAAAGTGTGTTGGGAAGTCAAGGTCCTGAGCTAGGCCTTCATTTAGATGGCCTTCGACCTTGTGCTCCAACCGTTCCTCGGAGCAGGTCTAACTGGGAACTCGGAACTCGGGGTTAGCGAGGCTCTGTTGTGGTGTCAGGGATGGAACTGGGGGGCTGTGCTGGATTGGGGGAGGGGGACTACGGTTTAGGATGGGATTTAGGCGCTGGACACCCAGCCGGGGATAGTTGTGGTTTCTATCTGGTGTGGGATGATTTGTTGGAGGATTTCTTAGAGTATAAGGATATAGTGGGATTGAGTGACTCTGGATCCTGGGATTTTCGTTGAATTAGCATTGTCGAGTTCAAGTTGTCAACGACGACTTGGTAGACTTGGACCAGAGGAAGAGACATTGGCGCAGGTGGCCGAAGAGAATTCCATCGTCGTTCGTTTGATAGACTCCTACAAACTTGCCTCGTCCCTACCGCTCTCTCAACCGGGCAAGTATTCCAAACCCTTGGTGCAAATGTGAATGTTAACCCCCATGAACAATAAGAGATGAGAAGAGGACAAACATTGCCAAACCGCAGTTCGGTACCGAAAGAGAGAATCGCGTTTCGACACACATGAGACTGACGATGTTGGCAACAGAGAATCAACAACAATGATACACGCTCATCAACACATACCAAACGACTAACCAACCAACCAACTCATCCTTCGGCGCTTCGCCCGTCCCCCAACGAGTGAGGTAACAAACAAACTAAAAAAAGACACTGAAAGAACATGAAGGCTGCTTGGAAAGAACAATGCCCGACACTTCTTCCCCGGGGGACTGGAAGAGGGATATAAAGGCAAGGACTACCCCCAACATCTCCCATCAGCTTCCAGTCCAGTCCAGCGTCCATCAACTACATCTCCAAAAACAGACACACACACACACACAACCATCAAACACAAAGCGAAAAGCAATCTGCCACTGCCTTCCTCCTAAGAACAAAACAACACATAAACAAACCCCTCTCCCAAAACCACCAAGATGAAGCCGTGCGCTCACGCCAACAAGTCGTGCTTCTGCTCGAACACTGTCGAAGATGGCTCCACGCTCTGCTCCCATTGTGACGGCGGTGGCTGTGGTGTTCTTTGAGCTGGCGTCCCTGGCATCGGAAGTCGGATTCGTAGGTAGGGTAGTGGTGAAGAGAGGCGAAGCTGCGTTGGAGGAGAGCGGTTTTTTCTGGGAGGTGCGGGATGGGATGGTGGGAGTGGGAGTGGGAATGATGGTGTGTGTATGATGGGTATTGGGAGTAAGAAAAGTAGGGAGAAGGGATAGATACCATACGGATGAGATATATGGAGCTGGAAGAGAATCAGTGATATAGACGAACGGGTAGATGGGAAATTCATATAGCAAAGAAGGCCTATGATAACCCCTTCTTTGGATTCATCTCCCACAGCGTTTGCGCAAAACAAACCCGTTTTCCGCCCCCAAAATTGAAAAGAAAAAAACCAAAACCCCTGATATGGCAGGCACCTGGTACCGTACGCAGTCTGTATTCTGGGCTTAGTTGTGAATGAATGTTTTGGGGGATGAATGCCTTGGGGGTTTTGGCCACCCCCTTTATTACTTCCACTTGTCCCAAAATCTTACCCTGGTGATATGTACCCAAAAATCGTGGCTTTGGCCTCATGAGAAGCCACTTAGCCTCCCACACCTCCCATAACCACAAGAACTCCTCACCATCTACCACCATTACTCACCCCTCTCCCTCCTCCACCTCCAGCCGCCATCCTCCCCATCCTCCCCACCCTAGACACACCAGAACCCCCCCTCAACTTCAGCACCCCCTCCGCAGTACCCTCATTCAAACAAACAGCCCCCCATTCTTTAACACACTTCCCCTTCTTCTTCACCACACTCCCCTCTCCCTGTCCATCATCCACCACCTCATAAACACAACAACTGCCCACAAGACACCTGAACCCTTCCCCGGTCTGCCCTGATTCTGGCGTCAGACACTCGGCGTTGGTGTCGCAGCCGATCTCGTTCTGGCACCAGTCGTCCAGCGAGCAAAAGGCCTGGCCGTCCGGGTCGAGGCCGCAGAGGCAAGCCCCCAGGGGGGTGGAGGGGCAGGGGTGGAAGGTGTAGGTGCCGCAGACGCCGGGGGTGCAGGAGTCGGTGGGGGTTGGTGTGGTGATGGAGGTCGTGGTGGCTGTGAGGGTTGAGGTGGTTGTTATTGTGGAGGGGGGGAGAGTGGTTTTGATGGTTGTGGTGTGGCAGGGGAAGGAGGTGGGATGGGGATAGGTTGTGTTGTGGGATGTTGAGATGGTGCTGTTGGTGGTTGGGTATGGGATTCTGGTTGATGTGGATGGATGGCTTGGGAGATCCGAGTGGTTATGTGCCCGTCGAAGTTGATTTTCGGTAGACGAGTCGGTTGTTGTTGACTCGACAGTGACGGGCAACGCGCTCGTAATAGTGATAGTTATTGTGGACGTGGTGTAGGCTGTTTGAGTACTGAATACGGTGGGACAAGTTAGCCATGTCAACTAGAAGAAGGCCATAAGAAAAGGGGCACCAGGAAGGGGTTAATTGCCTTGGCTTTGGAGTAATGGTAGTGAAGACTGTCGATGTGCAGTTTGGATGACTGTGTACGTGTTTGGTAGTCGAGGATGTGGTGGCATGTTCAGCAAGAGATATAGCCGCGAGGGCCAAAAGCATGGCCAGGACTTGCTTTATGATGTCTGATAACGGACGTAGACGGCAAGGCTGGCTTAGGCAACTCTTCCACAAACAACATTGTAGAGCACACGGGTGGAACCAGTCTTATAGGGAACGAAAAAGGGGAAAGACTCGGCAGCCTCGAGAGTTGTTTACATCAAACACTAGTGTATACCCTCTGCAGAACACAACAGTAGCGCGGCGAGCTGTCGGAGTTTTTGTCGGCGAGTTTCTCGGTGACGACAAGAGTCAATATGGTGCTGAAGTTCCGAGTTGCAAGGATTGGCAGCCACTTTAGGCCAATCCTGGATTGTGTAACTGATCGGAACAAACTCATGCAGGGGCGTGACGAGCTGAATGCATGTTTGTGGTATTCGTAAATGGGTATCATAATTTAGACCAGCCTTTGCGGGCCAGGTATCGAATCGTCTTGAACGGGTCCATAAGCAATAACAATATGGCAAATATTCTAGTCCTCTTCGAAGAAGCCTCCATCGTCGCTTTCGCTCTCCTCCTCCTTTTCCTCCGTCTTGCCGTATTTGCCCTTGGCTGGGCGCTCCTCATTCTGTGACGAGGACTTCTTGGCTGTCTTCTTGAAAGTGGGTTTCGAAGAGTCGCGTTCCGGTCGTCTGTCGCGAATCTTCTCCAGAGCACTCTTACCCTCCTCGCGGGCCTTTTCGATGGTAGTCCACATTGGTGGTCTTGATGAGTGAAGGTGGTGTGCGGCTGACCTCTTCTCGTCCTTCTCTGTCGCTTCGTCCTTGGACTTGGGGTATAAGCTGATGTAGGTCTCCATGTGAGGGTGGTAGAGGGCATAATCGAGGTCGACCTCGGCAATGTGGAGGTCGGCTTTTAGCCTGGCGATCTCGGCTTCGTCTTTGGTTTCGTCAAGTTGCTTCTTCAGCTGCTTTGCGAGGCGCATAGCCTTCTTGCGCTCTGTTCGTGAACATTTGGGTTAGAAATGCGATAGGCCTCCCTGTGTGAGGAGCAGGGGTAACATACCAAAGAACCTGACCATATGATACTTGCTAATCATCTTGCTCCTCAGCCTCTTGTCGCTCTCGTCGGCAATCCTCTGCTTGTGGGCTTTCAGTTCGCGCCCGAGGTCGTTCCTGACATTGGCAGGCAGCTTTTCGTTCTTGTGTTCGAGAAGGCGCTCAATCGCTCTGACACGCTTCTTGATCTGACTAAGGTTGCCGTCGTTGATCTTCTGGGTGGTCTTCTGGCGCTTCGCAATGTTCTTGGGGTTGAATCTGTTGTGTGGGTTTCTGCTTCTTTGCTGGTTCTGGTTCTGGTTCTGCCCCTCGCCATTGGCGTTCGACCCCTCGGCCTCTTCGAACGATCGCTTGCCCATTGTCGCGGTGCGCTGAAAGAGAAAACTGTGAGATTTCGGAAAGTAAAATGACTTCTTGGGCGATCGTGTTGGCGGTGGGTGCGATATGATACGGGCAATACGAATTCAGGTGCTTGGGTCGTTGTCGCGATGGTTCGTCTTGTTTCTCCAATTCGAAAAAAATAAATGGAGACTCGCTGAAAGAATGGAGCAAAGAGCTGACTGAACCCCTGCAATCGGCCTGCAGGGGGCGCTGGCTCACTGCAATGACAAGTCGAAGGCTTCCGGGTTAGGGTTAGACTCGAGTAGGGCCACAGCAGCATCCATCGTCAACTCTGGTGAACTAACTAACTCCAATCAAAGTCTCCCTTCCCAAGTCCACCTTCAACAACCAGAAAATGAAGCTGTAGTCAAGACGGTTGTTTGATCGTTATCTTTACTCTCATAAAAATGCCATGAGCATGGTGACCATGGTTTATATCTTTATCTCTTTGGATTCATGAACCACGTGCGACCAACGTCATCTGGCTGGGAAGGAGCGCTAGGAGCATTTGGGTGAACTCAACTGTTCATTCCTTCACCACTTGTCGGCCTCTCGCTATAAGCTCTCACTTGAAGCCGCGGTAGCGAATGAGGGGCCATTATACATCTTCTTACTCCATCACATAACTCCATAACCCCCGACTTCTGGAACCAGGACAACGACATCACAGCAACTCGCCAGGATGGATCGCCCAGAGCCGGGTCTCATCAGATGGTCGCCGAACGCGGGGCGAGACCTCTTTCTTCACATCAACCTCCAGCACCACGTCGTGCAGCTCTATGAGCCAACAGGCTTCGCCAATAAAGGCAACTTCCAGGCAAGGACGCTCGGCAAATATGACGAACTACCTCCTCTTACCACCTTTGACTGGTCTCCCTCCGTGCCCGGCCTGGTCGCCGTGGGCACCTCGACCGGCGTCGTCAACATCTTGCGCGTGGACGACAACTCAAACGCAGTCATGCATCTCAACCTCAAAATGTCCCGTACCTGCCAAGCTGTCGCCTTTAGTACCGCTGGAAAGCTTGCTGTTGCCCTGGACAGAGTGAGAAGTGACAACTGCCTCTACATCTGGGACGTCAACCGGCTATCGACCATGGATACCAATGCCTCAGGCTTCACTAGTGTTGTGCCCTTTACCGACCCCATAGATCGCCTCGAGCCCAGCGTGTCAGTCTCCAGCGTCAGGTTCTTCGAAGACAACCCCAATGTTCTCGTGGCCGGCATTAAGGGCCAGGGTCTCCGGATACATGATTTAAGAGGTAGCGTCACAGTTCAGGTTCAGGTTCACAAAGTGCGAGCTGACATAGTTTCCAGAACAAAGTCACAGCTCAGTGGTTCATTTCCCCACCAAATGTTGCAACAACCTTGCCATTGACTACGCAGACCAGAACTATTTTGCCTCCTCGGCCCTGGACCAGCCGGGTGTCATGGTTTGGGACCGACGCGCAACCCACCGCCAGGTTGCAAGGCCCTCGTATAACGATGCGGTTAAGGATGACGACTTACCCTGGGGCGGAGCCTTGCGTCTGGAAAAAGCGGTGCGCGTCCATACTCAGGATCCGGCCCAGGACACCAACACCTCCTACATCCGTTCCATTCGTTTTTGTCGAGACAAGCCCGGTATGCTAGGCGTGTTATCACGGGCCGGCCAGCTCCGAATCTTGGACACGAGACATGAATACGTGGAACCTAGTAACCAGTTCGAAAATAGCCCTGAGCTGCTCGAGGTGGCTCGATCGTATGAGATGGACCCTTTCTATCTGGACAACACCCGCCATAAGCACGAGAAGATCGTATCCTTTGACTGGATTACCATGCCTTCACCCATTGCCCAGGCCAGAATGCTTGTCCTCAGGAACAATGGCAATTTTGATGTATTGGAGAAACCGTCCTTTACGTCCGAGCATCCATTTAAGCTGATTCCGTGGCAACCACCCCACCGAGGACTGGAAGGTAAAGAACCACCTGAGGATCTACCCTACCCTTGGCTCCCGGGCGAACAAAAAACTCACAATCTTCTAGAAAGGATATCTTATCATCAAACCATGGACTTCGAGATCCCCCAGACGCAGGAAATCCTGGGACCCTTCTTGACCGAGAAGGTGTTGGCAAATAAGCAGCTATTCGGACCAGACAAGGCAAACCTTACTGCAGTTGTTGAAGACGCCATGCAGTCGGACGTTTACACTGACCTGCTAGGACCGGACGGCTTTAATCGAATCTGCGATCTGAAGTTCCCGGAGGGGTATTCTACAACCATGCCGATTGCTGAGAAGTTGGCGGCCCTGAGGATGACGGTTGGAGAAAGGTCACCAAACGGCTTGAACACGCGAGGTGAACCGTTAGGACAGTTGGAGCGCCATGAGAACTTGCTAATGAAACTCATGGATCGAAGCAACTTTCCCAGAGAGGCACAAGTTATCCTCGATCATACCATGATCTTCCGCGCAAAGGAGGGTTATCTTTTCAACTACAGAAGAAATCAGCAGGTCGTAGCCGATGACCCATGGCTTAAGGATATGTGGGCTTGGATTACAGGTAAGCTCATTCTCAGCTTCACGCCAACGCTGCTTAGTCTCTAACGAAGTCTCGTCTGTGACAGGAGCCGACGAAGCAGCTTCAGATGGCGGGATGATGTCTCATCCTCTCGATTTGAGCTACATGGGAGTGTACACATTGTGGACAAACGACCTTGGTAAGTCCTGATCCGCAATTATTATTTGGTTATCATCACTCTGACACGGAAATAGGGAGTAAACCTCAAGCAAGGCTATCGGACCACTCACATGCTCCTGACCAAGCTGGTTGGGAGCGTTGCTTGAACGCCATCAACAAAAAACTGGGGCTCCCAAAGTTTGACGGCGTCGATACGAAGCGTCCCCACCATCGCGAGATGTGTCTCGAGATGTGCAAATGGGGTCGAAACTATGACGCCGATTTGATCAATGGTCAATCCATCTCCAGCCTGAGCAAAGACGCCTCAGTATGGCACACCATGGCGGCTGCTCAAGCCCTCTTCAGGGGCGATACCAAGGGCGCCGTGCAAGTGCTCAAGCAAGCCAGCACTGATCACCCCGAACTCCTCTTTGTCTCTCTGGCATTGCAGCTCGTGGGCAACGTCACGCAAGAGGGGGACAGAAAGAACAAGAACAACGCTGTCAAGGAAGCCCTCGACTTTGACGAACGCGTGGCCTCCAAAACCGACCCTTACCTGCGCGCAATCTCTTCCATCATCGCCACGGGTGACTGGTTGACCATTGCCAACCAACGCTCTCTCCCACTCCGAGACCGCGTTTACGTCGCTGTACGCTATCTCCCCGACGACGCACTCACCGCCTGGCTCCACGCCGAGACCGAAGCGGCCATGGAGGCCGGCAACATCGAAGGCATCGTGCTGACCGGCATCACGGACCCTCTTGTCGACATCCTCGCCCGCTACGTATCCAAGTTCGGCGACTTCCAGACCGCCACGCTGGCGCTATCAATCTGCTCACCGCGCTTCATCGATGACGTGCGCGCCGCGGCCTTCCGTACCGCCTACCGCGCCTATCTCCAGCGGCACCACGCCTTCTTCCTCCGCGCCAAGTTCGACGTCGAGTCGACCAAGCGGAGCAAGCACCAGGGCCGCCCGACCCTCAGGCCCCCAGGCCGTCAGATCGCCCTGCGCTGCGTCTACTGCGACGCCTCGACGAGTCTCCACACCCACAACAACAGCTCCTCCAACAGCTCCAACCCCAACAGCCATTTACCTGGCAATGCGTCCCCCTCCATACCAACCTTCATGGTCCAACATGCCGCCGCTCAACAGGCTCAAGCCCAAGCCCAAGCCGCAGCGGCCGCAGCGGCAGCAGCACAACAGCAACAACCAACATCTGGAGCTTCGGGTGGTGGTGGCGGAGGCGGAACGACACCCAAGATCCCTATCCCTCCCCCGCCTCCTCCGGCCGACGCCCTCCAGCTCCCGCCGGCGGCCGCCGCGGTGCAAAGCAAGAATCCCTTCACTGAGAAGATGGTACAAGCGGGTATCTCTTGCCCGAACTGCAAGCGTCACCTGCCGCGGTGCGTAGTCTGTCTAGAAATTGTTGGCATGCCACGCAGTGATTTACCGGGGTCGGGCGGCAAGGAAGGGACGGGGATGGGCAGAGTAGTAGTAGTAGGAGGAGGAGGAGGAAGTACGATGGGAAGCCATCACGGCGGAGTAGGAGGGGACCATCATCACCAAATGGGAGTGGATATGACCAACAAAATGGCGGCGAGGTTCCCGACGTTCTGCTTGCAGTGCGAACATGTCCTACATCTGGATCATGCGAGGGAGTGGTTCGCTAGGCATCAGGAGTGTCCGGTGCCAGAGTGTAGGTGTAAGTGTAACTTTAGGGCGAATCCGGAGTTGAGGTATCGGTAGAAGGGAGGTGGAGGGGGGGAATAGGGAGGGAGAAAAAAAGGTAAAGGGCTCCTAGAGGCAGAGACACAGAGGCAGAGAGATGTAAAACGGGGAGGTGATGAGTGGTTCTGATAGGTGTACGTAGTAGTAATCACCTGGGTAATGTACTTATCGTAGCACTTACTTCCTATATGGACCGGAACTTTTCTTCTTCACTTAGCATCCATCACGCTCCTCGCTCGTCCTTTTTCTCATATGAGCCAAGATGCCCCTGAACTTCTGTAAGTCTCCTGAAGCTTCGATGATGGAGGAATACGATGTCATAGTAATCCAACCAACTGAACAGTAGAAACTGCTCCACGTGTTTCTGACCTACCTACCTCTTTACACCCCTTTCAGTTTCTCTTCACTATACATATGCCAAGTAAGGCTCCGCCTCAGAGCAACTTGGTTCTCTCTTGGTATTCTTGGCAATAATTCTTGGACATTTCTTGGCTGTCTTGGTTGTCTTGGCTGTCTTCAAGTTCTTGAACTCCTGGGAAGTCTTGGTCATTCTTGGAAGGCCTTGGGACGTTTTTTCTTGATCGTTTTGATTGTCTTGGACTCTTGGTTGACTTCTTGGACACTCTATTCGACTCTTGGTTGTCTTGGAGTCTTGGCAAAGCGGCTCGAATCCTCGAATCAATCGCCTACGCAGCGAGACTCAACGTCAGCGGGAGGTGCAGTGATAAAAGCAGTGACACAATCACACAAGCAAAGCCAAGAAGTTCTTCTCGATTGACATTGCTGTCATCTGGCTTCCCCTTTCTTCCAGAAGCTCCTGGTGTCGCAATGAGAGGCTGGGCGCCAAGATGTAGGTAAGAAGCTTGATGTGATGTCAAATTAAAGATGGACGGACGGAGTGACGGGAGTGGCTGGGGCCTGGGATTGCCTCAGGTGTGTGGTCGGGGTGAGCACGTGTCTACCGTCTCCGGCGTCGAGTCGCTAGAAGAGGCCCGGAGCCGTGGAGATTACCGCTGGAAATAGGTAGGGCGTTCCGGTGTTCCGATGTATCTTTTGAGTCTTGACAAATTGTGTTTGAATGATGGTTTGGGCATCCCTCTGGCTGGACTATCTGTCACCACTTGGCTGTTGAATGGAAGTTGAGGCTTGTCAACTCATTGTCTCGACGTTGGAAACAGTTGTCAATGTCGCATGCCCCTTACCTCCGTCCTACATCGTACATTGCGGTTGCCGAGAGATACCAAATCGCCAAGTCGGCCAAGTAAAGTCCAAGAACACCAAGAATGTCCAAGCCCTTGGCCTACTTGGCAGCACTCGGCGTGATCTCTTGGCTTTGGTCGGGATATGCCATCGAATAACACTTATTCACTCCAAACTTCATCTTCCTTCTGCCCCTTGTGAGAAGCCATCCTCAGAAAGCAGTTTGCTGGGCCCAATCAACCATCGGGCAATTGGTACCGTCCGACGGCAGTGGATTGCGGAACAAACCTCGGCGGCTTTCAGTCCGCAAAGGCGGAAATATCACAATCGGGCATCCTCATCCGCCGTCAACCGATCATGACAGGCCGCGGGACCTTTCCCTTTGCAGCCAAAGAGTGCCCACCGCCGTCATGTGCGGATGACCTTTTACCCAGACGGGGTTGACCAATCACACGGGGCAACAGCCGACCATGGCTCAATGGCCCCAATTTACGTAAGCTGTTAGCGGATAGCCAGCACTAGGGAACCCGACGCTGGGAGAGTCACCCGTAGCCACCAGCCCACCGCGATGGAGAGAGAGTCCACAAGCACATGCACGCTCAATGACGGCACAAAATATCTTATCAGATCGGTCATGGGATCGGGTAAATGTCGAAAGCCCAGACGGCATCGAGAACCATCAAGGGAACCCAAGCGAAGATGAGCAGTCAAAGCAAGCCCAAAAGCAGGAGAAACAGGATGGCGCTGAACCGAGACGGGCGACAGCCGCAAGAGTGAAGAGTCAACGGACAAGTGTGACCACTTCACCAAGGGGGCAATGAGGGGAGACGAGACTGTGGAGGGTCGCCAAGCTATTTTCTGCAATGCCAAGTCTTGGCACGGACTTGGCGCTCCTTGGCAGTCATGTCGTGCTGTTAGTGTCTCGAAGCGGCGCGCTCCCTGTGGTCCAGCTGGCCGGAGCTGGAGAGCGCGTGCTGTGCGATCTTTCAGCGGTCCCGCCCCACAGCGCCTTGTCCGCTCCAGGACCCCTCAACGTCGACCACAGCACGCCACATTGCATCACAAACAGAGGGTACCTGTGCCGGATCGAGCCTGGTCGTATCGTCCAATGAGACGGGCTGAGCAGGCTTGGCGTCCGAGCCCGCGACCGCCAAGAGAGGCTGCCAAGTCTTTTCGCCAGTACCGCCAAGGAGCAAGGCCATAATAAAGACAGTGAAGGCCCGCTGTTGATCCAACGTGTTTTCCCTCTGCAAACAACTTAAAATCTATCAAGACGTTTTGTTTGTTGGGGCTTTTTTCCTCTTGCAACTTCGAACAGACGACCAGAGCTTTTTGGCGATTCTTCCTGCGCGCGCATCAACCGACTGCAACTGGCACACCATCCAATCGCAGGTACCGATAACCGATTTGATACGGAACGCATAAGCCGTCTTCCCATTGGAGTCGCCGGCAATTTTTTCTTGGCTTTTCTTGGTGGGGTCTCGTCCTGAACACCTCCCAAGTCCCAGTCCCTCGTCTGGCTGTCACTGTCAGCATCTCGACTCGGACGGCTGTCACTATCACGCGCCGGCCGACAGTAACTTGTCCAACGTCGCCCAACCGCACCCGGACCGACCACTGAAAACGGTCAAACCTACTCGGTGAAATCGGACCCCGGGATAACCTGATCTCCGTTTCGCCCATTCAAGTCAGAGTACTCGGTACCTGATTTGTGTGTACCTCGGTATACCCGACACTTGGCACTTATACACCCCATCCGGTCACACAGTAGCAACCATGTCGTCCACACCGGCCCAGGAAAACGGCACCGCCAACGGCGCCAACACGGCCCCGGCCCCGGCCCAAACAACGCCCATTCCGGCTCCTGCTACCGCTGCCACTCCCACCACTGCCCCTGCCGCTCCCGCCAACGGAACTGCTGCCAATGCCATGAAGCCTGAGGCTTCATCCAACTCATCCAACTCTGCATCCAACCGCACCACTCCCGCTCCCTCTACTACTCCCACCACCACCAGCAACTCCTCAGCCCCTGCTGCTGCTCAAGATGAAAGTCTTGTCTGCCGATGGGCTGAGTGCAATGAGCGCTTCACTAGCGCCGAGGTGCTCTACGTATGTCAATACTCTGAAAACTCACATGTGGAGATATTCTAACACGATAAAATAGGAACACATTTGCGAGAAGCATGTTGGTCGCAAGAGCACCAACAACCTTAACCTCACATGCCAGTGGAACTCGTGCCGCACCACCACGGTGAAGCGCGACCACATCACTTCGCATGTCCGTGTTCACGTTCCCCTGAAGCCGCACAAGTGCGATTTCTGCGGCAAGTGCTTCAAGCGCCCTCAGGATCTCAAGAAGCATGTCAAGACCCATGCCGACGACTCGGTTCTGGTGGGTAGGTCTCCCCAGGACCAGAACGGTGGCATGAATGGTGCTTATAGAGCTCAGGCTCCAGTTCACAAGGGTATGTACATAACCACCACCCTCCGATTCGGTCTCCCGGAAATCTAGGAGACCAGTTTTCTTCAGTTCGGCCTCGCGCTGGGCCACCCTCGTATGCTCTTTGAGGCTAATTCGCCTCCAGCTCCCTCCGGTTTCTATGATCACAATGGCCATATGCGCGGTACTAACCAAGCCCCTTTTGGCCAGCCCCACCAGAATGGTCAGGCTAGTTACTACCACGCACAGTACCCAGCATCGCAGCCCTACCACGCCCCCATGTACTACCCAGCCCAGCCCATGGGCGGCCAGCGTAACGACTTCACCGGCCACCAGGCTGCTCCTTTCGATGCCCGGAAGCGTCAGTTCGATGACCTGAATGACTTCTTTGGCAGTGTCAAGCGCCGTCAAATCAACCCGACCTCCTATGAGTCGGTTGGCCGCGCTCTAATGCCTCTCCATGCTCCCTTGGGGCTTCACTCTGGAGGTCTGGCGACTGAGTACATGGCCCAGCCTCCCCACACTCTCGGCATGGCCAGCGCCCATCATCCGCTCACTCAGCACTACTACCTCCCGCCCATGCCCAACCTTCGCACCAAGGAGGACCTCCAGCAAATGGACCACTTCCTCGAGCAAATGCAAGCGACTGTCTATGAGAACACCGCTGTCGAGATGCGCCATCACTCGCCCACATATGCGACTCGCCCGACCATCGACCCGTACCCCGGCGCGTCCCTCGCCTCCCCTCTTAGCGCCACCTCTCCTCACTCGGCCGGCACCCCTGCGGTTACGCCCACTCCTAGCAACATGTCGTACACCTCGGGTCACTCACCAAGTACCTCTTCCACCAGCCTGTCTCCCACCACGCGCCACAGCTCCACCCCCTCGGTCTCCTACCCGACTCTGCCCAGCCGGCCAGGGCTCCCCTACCCCTCGACCTCGGGTCTCGGATCCAACTTCACCCACAACGAGCGCCGTCTTTCGGGCGGCGTCCTGCAGAGCGCGCGTCGCGCCGCCGATGAGGCCGACCGTGCGCCCACCCCCAAGGCCAGCGAGCAGGCCACGGTCAGCTCGCCATCGGAGGATTCGGAGACGGGCGATGTGAACGGACCCGAGACCTACGACGACTGGCTGCAGCACATGCGCGTCATCGAGTACCTCCGCCAGGGTATCCGCGCCCGTCTGGAGAGGCAGGAGTTTGATGAGGACGACACTAGCAGGATCGACCCCATGGTGCTCGAGTCGTCGGATCGGAACCAGCAGCAGCGGAACCAGCAACAGCAGCAACAGCAGCAACAGCAGCAACAGAAGAGCCCGAATCTGCCGACTGCGGCGGGTCCTTCGGCACCGGAGAAGCCTCTTTATCCTGTTCTTCCTCGCATTAACTAAGGTCCCTATGTAAGGAAGGCACAAGAGATTTTGGCGTTAAAGGCTGATAGGCGTGATGGTTGGGACAGTGGTTGGAACTGAACCGTGTTTGTTTTCTTTTCTTGTGTGTGTGGGGAGTTAAATGATTAATTGTGCCAGGCTATTGTTTCTTTCTCGGATGCGTGGTTGCGTGTGCGCTGTCAGTATTGATCGAAGGAAGGAAGGGAAGGAAGGAAGGAAGGTCTTGTCTGACATATCAGAACAAGAAGGGAAAAAAAAGAAGTTTGTTTGCTGGCTTTTGTTTTGTAAATATAGTACACTATTGCTACTTGCTGCCTACTGTGTGCGCAACCTTTTTCAAAGATACCTCTTCTCCTCTTTCTACCCTCGCTCGTCTTCGTTTTTTTGCTCCTCTTGAAAATATGGACAACAGATTCCATGTGCTTGGGTGTGTATCTTCATAAGGGTTGGAGATTACTGCTTGACAACGTCGTAGTCGGTGGTGATGGTGCTGTATGGAAGGTGAGAATGGCAAAGAGATGGATTGATGAAGCCGCCATGATTAAATGAAACGTCTAGTGTACTCTCGAACTGCGATTTCCCGGTTGCATAAAAGCGCAGTTATTTCAATCTCTCATGAAGCATATACCAAAAACTGGTCGTAGGACTTCTATTGACAAGACATGCCGCCATGGAACAGGACGCTGCGTAAGGTGACTGACTGCCTTTCGCTTTCTAGGTCGTTATATCGAAGCATTCGGCGTTGAACAACTTTATCAAATCTAGGTCTCTACAGTCCAATACTGCTTTGTTTGTTAGCTCGAGACCTCGGGTCAACTTCCCTAGGCGTTTTCATATCTATTGATACGTTTCGTTCCATGATCAAAGCCTGATATCTATCTTGAATATGTCAATTGCGATGCTGAATATGTGATATTGAATCTTATTAATACATTTCCGATCAATCCTTAAGCATATCCCATCCGTACCTAATCATTTCAATGCGTCCTTATAAGGTTTGGGACAACTCGGCATAGATCTCGTCTAAAATACTAGGAGTACCAAGCTAACAAATAAACCAACAGTAGATTGTAGAATACATCCCAGGACATTCAATGTTGAACCATTTTATTCCGCTTCCTGCCTTTACCCTGGTTCTCCATCTCATATGAAACTTTAATGATATCATTGATGAAAAACACAGATATTGCTTGCAAATCAACAGTTTCGGGTTATTTTCCGCGTCCATTTTGTGGATGTCTGGGGTGGTCAGGGATAAGGTGAGCTACCAAGGTGAGATGCCACACCGATGATGATCCACCTTGGTATCCAAGGTGAGGGATTAGGTGCCAATGCTCAAAACCATTCTGTGATGCTCACTCTGATCTCGATCCCCAGATGCCGGCCGGTCTCTGTGAGCCCGGGAGAACCAACTATAATACTTGGCCACTGGAACTGCCCGATGTTCACTAGTGTTTCAACTGTTCAAGATTCATGCGAATTCCCCGGTGTGAGCGACAACCCAAATCTATTAATGTGACCAGCATGCCGTGTGCTCGCTGAAGGGTCAAGCATCCAAATAAAAAAAAATAAAAAAATAAAAAGTTCTAGAAAAAAACATATCAAGAACCAAATATCAACGACGAAGAAGGGAGGAACCCCAGCACCACCTGCTAAAACATTTGAGGGTATCGCCGCGCAGCATACTATGGTATGTCTGATGTAGCCAAAATTCCCACCACACTTTTCCTCTAGGCAAGCCCTTCGACAAAGAAGTGAAATCCACAAACAAATTTCTTCCCTGCTTCCGTCCAATCAAACCAAAAAGGGGCAAGTTCCGTTATCTTTTCTCCAACCGTGCATATGTTTATCCCAATGTATTCTCCACCATATCACAATCTCCCCTTTCCTAATCGCTACCGTTCGTTGCGGCAGCTTCATCGCGACACCTCTTGCACATACACCAACCGCCCAACGCTCCTTGAGCCCATTCCCTTCGGTCCTTGACAGACAGATCGACGTCGCAGTAGTGGTTCAAGATCTCCTCGCCCGCCTTGATGCCGCCTGGCCGGTTACCGACGACTCTCGTCTCCCGAGCGAACAATGTCATCCGACCACCCCATTCCCAAGTCACGTTAGGATCGCAGTCGTGGTTGGCCAAGCACCAGAAGGGGTGGACAGCCGCTACCTCGGGACGCCCATCACGCAAGCCCTTGCGGGCAGACGCAGTGCCGCGGAACTTGCTGTACGCTGTGTTGAAGACCCATAGGTCGTGTTGAGGGAGCGTCTCGAAGATATCGATATCCATCTTCTCAAGAATATGAAGAGGGATCTCGATGTTGTACTTGAAGGAGAACGGCAACGTCCACTCGGGAGGCGGGCCGGCGTTCACCGACAAGTCAATATCGTTGAGCTGGGTAGGGACAAAGTCTCCCCAGATGTACTTGATCTCCTTCAGCTCCAGGGAATGGACCTCCTGATGGTTGGACATTGCCAACAGGCGAGCCAAGAGGAGGAGGTACAGGGATTCGGCAACATCCTTGGCCTCGGGGTCCTTCGCAATCGAGTCAACGTCCTTGTCGCAAACCGCCGGGTGGTATTGTTCCTCGGCCTGAGAGAAACAAAACTCGTCGCAGAAGACAGTATCATAACATTCCGGGCAACTGACGGCTTCTGTTTGCACTTTGAGCGGTGGTAGCTCAGTTCCGCAGGCATCGCATGTGGATTCCTTGTGACGGTTGTTCGCCGTCAGCAACGAGTACTCCTTCAAGACAGCCTCGCCAGGAGCAATATCCTCCTTCGCAAAGAGACCCAGCTGGTTACAGGTTGGGATGATCTCGTATTCGTCGGTGTTGGTCTCTCCCTCGAGGAGAACGGGTAGGCACGAAACCTTGACGGCGCACTTGGGCGCCATGGTTTCGAGCTGACCGTTCAGAAATGACAGTGACTCCTCCGAGAAGCGATCGGGCTCGTACGTGTTCCAGGGGTAGATCTCGCGGCGCACAGCACCGGTGTCGGGAAGATCATGGAAATCGATCGGCTCGTCGGGCTTCAAGCGCAATCTCCGCCTGGCAACCTGTTCGATATATCCCTTGGTTTCCAAGAGCTCCTTGTTTTCGGGAAGAATCTTCAGACCCTTTTCGACAAAGTCGGACGCGCTTGCTAGACAACCGCACAGGAGAAGACTGAGTGATAGGATCTGGAAGCAGCGAACAGAGGCTGTGGTAGCCAGTTGGCGGTACGGCTCGGATCCATCAACGTCCTCGCCATCGGCCATATTCGTGATGTTGGCAAGAAGGTCGCCATGGTCCAAGACTTTGGGATAAGGCTCGGTTGAGTGGCCCTCAAGAGATTCCTTGGCTGCTTCGTGATATTCGAACCCCTCGTTAAGAACTTCGTCTGTCAGAAGGAGGGCACGGTACGCATCGCCAGCCGCAAGGTCGGGGTACGCTAGCTCAGAATAAACGACGGCTCGCTCCAAGTAGAGGATGAGATCATATGGAGCAAGCGCCAGGGCATCGGTTAGGCGCTGACGGTGATCGACAAGGGCGGCGCGTTGAACTTCCCTCTCGTCAGGGACGGATGGGGCGGATGGGGATGAGCTTTCCATGGCGGGGAAGAAGGCTGTTGGCTGTTTCGGTTGCTGGTGCCGCGAGTTGGTCGAAAAGGCCTGGATGGTCTAGAAGGGTTGACGGGGTGGTGGTATGCTCGTTTGTATGGTCGGGCTGTTCGGCCTGGTCAGCCTGGTACGGCAGGTGAAAGGTGAGACAGTGAAGGGTGACAAGGACGACAGACGATGGACCTGATGGTGTGCGCGGGCAAGATCAAGGATCGACCAAGGGAAAACCCACTCCACGTCGAAGGATGATAAGTCCATGTTGGGGAGCAATGATGGTACCTTGGGAGGATATATAAGGTATCGAACAAAGACCTTGTCTTGTCCTGGATCGAGGAATATCTCGGCCCGCGAACTACTGGGGACCGTCGACAAGAAAGAAGAGGGGAAAGAAAGGAAGGCGTGCCTACCTGGCGTCCTGGGAACCTTAGGTAGGTTGGGTGGTGATTCAGTTGGCAGTGCCTGGTTCCCAAGTTGGAGTTGGTACTTCCTTGGTCGTTCCTTGGCTGAACTTCAGACCTTTTTTTGGTTGCTCCTCCACTATCGTCCCTTCCTTATTCCACCCAATATCTTTTCCGATCCGCCGGTTCTTCGCACTTTCCCGTTCTCGGATGGCAGCTATCGTTACCGTACTATAGTAACAGCTGCACCTCATCGACCTGCAGATGCGGGATGGAGCAAATGGAGGCTTGGAGATGGCGATGAGACGGTGGGGAATTGATCGATGGCGAGAAAAAAAAACTTTGATATAGAATGTTAGCTCGGTTTTTGCAAGTGGCAAAGAACCTTAATTTCTGCACAGGAAATGGCCCTCTTGTCGTCTGTCTGTTCCCTGTTTCTTGTAGGATTGCCGTACCAAGCTAACGTTTTATATCCATGCAGAGGTGTACTACGCCGGTACCTGAAGCCCACAGTCAAGGGACTTGGAGCAGAAGCAGCCCGAGCAGAACTGAATTACACTGCAGTCCGGATACTACTACACCCGGCACCCAGCTCTACACCCTGAACAAAAACCACTTGGAAATAGTGGGCAGTAGTGAGTGGGCGGATGACGGAGGAGCGGGAATGGGGAGTCAACACTAGTCAAGATCGAAACGTGACTGCGGAATGGGGAAAAGAGGGTACCGGTGGTGAAAAATAAAACGACTGAATCGGTTGAGAGGCCGTATCCGGGTGTATTGCACCTGACTTGCAAAGAACTGAAAAGGAAGCCAATGTCACTAGAGTCGCTAGAGCGAGCCTGAAACCACGTTATTTCTCGCGTCAGAATTTTATTTTTACCTCGCTGCTGGGTTGTGTGTTATCCCCGCCGTTTGCTCCCCCATCCATCCCGTCGACGAGTTTGAACCCTGCCCGGGCTCCCCAAGGTACGATCACCGAGAAGAGTTTGATGCCAGCCGTCGCAAATGCTCCGGATTCGACCCAAGCTAAGCCGATTAGCCGAGTCCAGAACGCTCATCAGCGAAAGCCCAAGGACCAGTCATCTCTCGACGGAGGATGCCGGACCAGAGCGCAATGACGGGATCGCTGCATCTCAATCTGATATCCACTGCCGCCGGCCTGCCAACGGCTTCCACTTCCACTGAATGACAGGGTGTCAGTGTTCGGGAACAATCACGGCACAGCACGGGAACCACCAGTCCTCCTCCACTGGCGTCAGGTTTTGTGGCCGCGCAAACCTGTCACAGCACGCCGATTTGGACCCCTTTCTTGAAAGGTAAAGAGTTGGGCTGCGATGAAGGAGGATAGAAAGGCTGATCGGCAGAGCTCC